AGGAGGTTAACCGTCAATATCATCCCGGATAGGTACAGGTTGGGAAACTACACAACGTATTCTCATCATACACCGTTTGTGCCTCAAGACGAAAGTTTATAATCAGTGTGTGTTACCACCTTTTTTTAGGGAAAAATCAACAAATTACTTTCTCGTCAGTCACTCAGAGTATGGCGAGTATCAGACTTTTACCGATTTAAAACCCATTCCTTCTTCTGCTCTAGGCCGAGGCCGCGGTACCTTATGGCGCTTGACCCTCTATCCCTGCTAAGAATTGGCCATGTTGAGCTTCACCTGTAATGGTCTAATATTTAGTAGATAGATTTATTCACACCAAACAATGAAACAATGAATTTATTTTTGCAAATAGGCCATAAAACGGCACTTTTACACGTCAAATTATATGTGTGAACTAGATGAAGCCAAAACAAAGTTCTTATCGATATCGATAAAAAATATCTACAGCTCAAGCCCATCCCTATCGTCCTTGATCGTTCGCCTAGTTATGAGAGGTTATCTATTTGTTTATTTCTATTAACATAAACTATATCAAGTTAACGGGAACTTATTTTTAAAGGCCTAGGAATTTTTTGGGGGCCGGTCTCATTTTGAAATTGCCTTAGAGTTCAAGTGTTTGCATGTCGGCGGCGGCGACCTCTCGCGCCCGGCCTTAGTCGAGGCCATGGTGCGGAGCGAGAGGAACTGGGACGCGGTCTCCTACTTCTTTGAATCAGTTATGCTCGCAAAGAGGGAGGCGGCCCGCGTGAGGGAGCAATCCTCCTCCTCACGCCCCAGCCGCCGCAACAGGCGTCACTACGGGCGTCGGGGATCAAGGGTCTATCTCCGGCCACCGTTAGCGCGGGTCTGCGGTCGGCGAGTAAGAGCAGCTCGCCGCCCGACTAAACCAGGCCCGAGCGTATGGCGCGCGCCTCAAAGAGCCAATAGACCACCACAGACGGGGCCCTAAAGGGCTGATGTTCAGCCGGGGTTGCGGGGTAAGCGCAATGCGGCACCGCGACCTCGGCCCAGAGCAGGAGAAGGAACATGGGTAAATGGAGGGACACCGGGTTGGTTTTTAGTCAGTAAGAGTCTGACAGTGCCCTTCGCCCTTCCCCGAGGGTGGTAAGTCTCCAACACGACACCAAAAAAAGCTATGAAAACTCTTAGACGGATCTACTGATATTGAAAATAAACAAAAAGTGATGATAACAATATAATTCGTATCATATCTAACACCCCATAAACATATAATTTTCTACCATCTTGCACAAAAGTCCTGAATCAACCGGGGATTGTCCTTGGGTGCACCTTAACCTATACTTCTATACTAATATTATAATGAGGTAAAATTTGTAAGTTTGTATGTAGGGGGTAATCTTTGGAACCGCTGGTCGGATTACCAAAATTCTTTTACTGATACTCCAGCTACAATATTCCAGAGTGCTATAGGCTATAGAACATCACGCTACAATCAAATGGAGCCGAGCTGCTGGTGAAACTGCGCGGGAGTAGCTAGTAGTGCGTACAGGGATAATGGCCGGCTGATGTCCTATCACCTTTAGGTTAAAACTGTTCAACGGGCCTCTGCGCGTTGGCTTCGGCCCCTCGTACGCCTTCCAAACGACCGGGATTCTGTGGTTCCGTGAAAGAAAATATGTAACTTGCTTGAAATCTATATATATAAAAGAAAGTCGTGTTAGTTACTCCACTTATAACTCAAGAACGGCTGAACCGATTTAGCTGTAAATTGGCAGGAAGGTAGTTTAGAGCCAGGAGAAGGACATAAGATAGGAAAGAGTAGGGTAGGTAGAGTAGGTATAGTAGGGTAGATAGAGTAGGGTAGAGTAGGGTAGGTAGGGTAGGTAGAGTAAAGTAGGTAGAGTAGGGTAGGTAGAGTAGGGTAGGTAGAGTAGGGTAGGTAGAGTAGGTATAGTAGGGTAGATAGAGTAGGGTATAGTAGGGTAGATAGAGTAGGGTAGAGTAGGGTAGGTAGGGTAGGTAGAGTAAAGTAGGTAGAGTAGGGTAGGTAGAGTAGGGTAGGTAGAGTAGGTATAGTAGGGTAGATAGAGTAGGGTAGAGTAGGGTAGGTAGAGTAGGTATAGTAGGGTAGATAGAGTAGGGTAGAGTAGGGTAGGTAGAGTAGGTATAGTAGGGTAGATAGAGTAGGGTAGAGTAGGGTAGGTAGAGTAGGTATAGTAGGGTAGATAGAGTAGGGTAGAGTAGGGTAGGTAGAGTAGGTATAGTAGGGTAGATAGAGTAGGGTAGAGTAGGGTAGGTAGGGTAGGTAGAGTAAAGTAGGTAGAGTAGGGTAGGTAGAGTAAAGTAGGTAGAGTAGGGTAGGTAGAGTAGGGTAGAGTAGGTAGAGTAGGGTAGAGTAGGTAGAGTAGGGTAGGTAGGGTAGGGTAGATAGAGTAGGGTAGGTAGGGTAGGTAGGGTAGGTAGGGTAGGTAGGGTAGGTAGGGTAGGTAGAGTAGGTAGGGTAGGTAGGGTAGGTAGGGTAGGTAGAGTAGGGTAGGTAGGGTAGGTAGAGTAGGGTAGGTACTTTAATGACGGGAGCGACGCCGCGGGTAAGAGTTAGTACTAAATAAATTGGTAAAAGTAAATAATATTTTAGTAAAAATGCTTGACTAAGAGGCGGATCGTTGACGCGAGTGATTAGCGTCGCGTTTCGCACACATATTCGTGATGCACGCAGTATCGCAAGCACACATGCGTGCCAAATATCGAGCTAGTGATGGGACGAGCAACACTACCCTTTTTTGTGAGGGAATATTAATAAAAACTAAAACCCAACTACGACAAAAAACGACGCTGAAAAAGTATGGGTAGGTAAACCAAGATTTTCAGAATATTGAAAGGAGTAGTCACACGTTACATACCTACCTACAATCTCACAATGATATTGTCTCACGATAGCTACTACTTAATATCATAATAATAATACCAAACATATTTAAATAAATTAGGATTAAGGTCTTTGTTTCCGATTCATATTTTTAGTAATTTGATTTATATTGATTTAATTTAATTTTGTGTTTTCGTGGTTCATGTTATTTTATGTTTATCCTAGTCTTGATTCACGTTATTAATTAAATTGATATTTTTATTTAAATTTTAATGTTTTAGTAATTTTTCTTAGTTTAATGTTTATGTTTACATACGGTAAGTGATGTGTACATCTGTCAAAGATATTCATACAAGAACTCTGTCTCAGTAATAAAATTAAGAAAATGATTTTATTGTATAATTCAAATTCAAATTCTTTATTTGCATGTTAAGGTGGGTGCAAGGATCTTAAATTAAAATAAAAGACACAGCTTAACGGCCTTTTTCAGGCGTTGCAAAGAGGGCTATTACTAGCTTATAAAATAATATTAAATTACTTAATTTACATCACATTGTATAAAAGAGAAAAAAAGAACAAAAAAGTTAAGAATTAGATAAATAATAAATAAAAAAAAATAAGTTGTTAGTTGAGTTAGTAGGTAGGTGTTTGTGTGTATATGAGGTGGGTTTTAACATTAATGTTGGTGTTCTATTTTCCTTCGAAGAATTCTTTGGTTGAGTAGAAACATTTTTGTATTAAGAACTTAGCATATTGTTGATGTACCTTATTAAATAAAATAAAAAATACTTTTTTATCAGTGGTAATCATCAAATGTCTTCTCCCGCCCAGAGTAAGGCGGGAGATAGTGTCAGACTCTTTACTTAATAAAAACGACCCCCGTTCCTTCTCCTGCTCTAGGCTAAAGCCGCGGTGCCCTTTTTTTTAAGTTTCATCACAACAATTAAGATCTTACATGCCAGTCGATAGAAATGACAATACATAGACATGTTAAGTATATGAATGTTAATAGAGCGACAAATTTCATTTCATAAAAAAATAGTATTTTTATGGTATAATTCTGCAAACGAGCAGACGGATTACCTGATGATAAGCAATCGGCGCCGCCCGTGGACACCCACAACACCAAATGAGTAACGAGTGCGCTGCCGGCCTTTTGGGGATAGGGGTTGCGGATATAAGGATCGGGAAGGGATAGGGGAAGGGGCGGGATTGGGCCTCCGGTAACCGCACTCACACGGCGAAACACAACGCTGTGGTTGTTTCACGCCGTGAGGCCGTGGTATCACTCCGGTCGAGCCGACCCATTCGTGCCGAAAGTATGGCTTCTCCCACACTTTTCACAGTTACACAAATAAACCAAAAAATAAATAAAAAATTTGCCAAATTTACTGCCATGATAATAACTCCGGCGACGCGACGCTACCTTAGAAGTCAAATTAAATAAAAAACATATGAAAATTATTTCAATTAGTTTATTTAATAATTATTCATACATAACTTATAATATAATTATTACTAACTTACATAAACATCTGTTCTTAAAATGATTTTAAATGATATTCTTATAATTACAGATGTGCATGCAGTTTTTTATTGTTTTCAAAATGTTTTTTTTTTTGTTTTCCAAACTTTGATATTATAAATGCGAAAGTAACTCTGCCTAGGTCTGTCTGTCTGTCTTTTCTTCACGCCTAAACTACTGAACCGATTTCTGTGAAATTTGGTACAGACATAGTTTAGAACTCGAGACAGGACATAGGATAGTTTTCAAACCAAAAATCTGCAGGTAGTCACTAATTAAAACAAAGAAAGTCGCAGGCAAAAGCTAGTTCTTAATATTAATACAGGGAAAATTATTCATTGTTTGTGTCCATCTAATAGATAAAAATGAATCGCAAAATGTGTTGGTAAGCGCATAACTCAACAACGCCTGGACCAATTTTATTAATTCTTTTTTTGTTGTGTTTGTTATTGTCAGGAGAAGGTTCTTATCAAAGAAAATTTTCGAAATCTCGAAGGGAAAGTTGGGAAAAAATGACCCTTCCATTGTTTTAGCGATAGTTGGACCCGTGCGAAGCGGGGGCGGCCCGCTAGTATTTCATATTGATTAGGCTTCCAAGCACCTTTACAGATTGTATTTCAAAATTAACGGCATGTCTGGAAAACATAATTCTTCGGAAGTTATAATCCAAATTATACAAAACTATAAAGTAGTCCAGTCGTTCCAAATTTCGGCGACAAATTGTTATTTTCTTTTGTTTTTCATTATTTAAATTCGTCAAAATCATTTATCACAGACTGTGTTTTTAATAAGATCTGCAACCTTGGCCCTGAAATAAAAAAAAAACAATATTAAAGTAATTATAATATTTACTTATGTATAATAAATTAGTTTCCGACTAGTCAAATTCAATAGTTTAATCCAAATGTCAAAAACGATACTTTTCTATGAATTTTATTATGAAACACTGAGCTTTGACGTCATAGTATTTTTAAAAAATATCTTAAATTTAGTGTTGTCAATATGAAACGCGAAAGTTTAAAAGCTAGTATATATATGGATAGTTATTTCGGATTATCCGTAAGTTTCTGATATTCTCATTAATAGATTTTAGTCGAATAAACAATATTAATTGGTTACAACAAAAAAGAAAACTCAGTAAGATTCTTTCCTTTTTTTTAAACGCTGCCCCACGCTAGGATTTTCTCCTGTCTCGTGGCTGCGTTTACAAACATACGATTTCACATACACTACACAACCAGACCCGGAACAACAATTTGTGGATCACACATAGAGTTCTTCCGTGCGGGAATCGAGCCCGCGACACGTCCCTCGGCATCCACTTGCCTAGCCACAGCGCCAACCGTGCAGTCATTCTCAATACTTCGTATTTATCCGAAACTAGCGATGCAGATCCGGTTTCAGTTACAGACATAATTATATTAATTTCGATTACAGTTACGGAAATCAATAACATTCTTAATAATCGTATCAAGTGTAATAAAATTGGGTAGTTTCCTAGGTCAAAAATAAATTAATTCGACGTTTCAATATAATGAAATATTGAAAAATAACTAATATGTACTTCTGTTCATCTATCGATCGGTACACTAAGTTTTAGATATTTTTTTAGCTAATTTTTAAGAAATAAGTACGCTATTTGACGCAAAAATACTATGACGTCGATGACGTTTTTGACGTTTGGATAAAAGTATTGAATTTGACTAGTCGGAAACTACCGTATTATCCCAAACTAGCGAATTGGATCCGGTTCCAGTAACGGATATATAAATATTTCGGATACAGTTACGGAGCTCGATCACATCCTTAATACACATACGAATAGCAAAATAAATAAATAGAAATATGTTCAACTTACTTGTGTACATAAAAGTTGGTTTCTGTAGTATTAAATTGGGCGTATATAAACACGGGAATCTGGTTAACTAAAACCCATACATCGTCATCAATTACTTTCAGATCTGAAAATAAAAAACATCATTGAAATTACACATCATCATAATCATCATCAGCCTATAAGTGCCCACTGCTGAGCAAAGGCCTCATTCTCACACGGAGAAGGTTTGACCATTAATCACCACGCTTGCTTAAGGCAGATTGGCGATTTCAAACTTATAGTTAGAAATTATGAAGTCCAGGTTTCTGCACGATGTTTTCCTTCAACGTATGTCAATGGTGTCTCGATAACCAAAGAAAGTATATACATATAACCCGGAAAAAGTCGCATGGTACTTGCCAGGTTCCTAAACCACTTCCTCATGAATGAGAAGCCTCTGGCCCACCACGACTGTTAAAATAACAAATTTTTCTTTAAAATAATTGACTTATCCCGCCTTGGAAGGAGCGACTGATACTACGGCCTTACAGAAAACCAGCGTGAAACAACTACAGCGTTGTTTTACCGTGTGAGTGAGGTTACCGGAGGCCTAATCCCTGACCTTGACCATCCTTCCCAATCCTAATATCCGAAACCCTTATCCCCAAAAGGCTTACCTTTTGACCGGAGAAATACCACGGCCTCACAGAAAACCGGCGTGAAGAAACCACAGCGTTGTGTTTCGCTGTGTGAGTCAGGTTGCCGGAGGCCTAATCCTTACCCTAACCCAATCCCTAAACCCTTTAAGCCCAAAAGACCAGCAACGCTCTCGTAACTCCTTTGGTTTTGCCGGCTGCTTACCATCAGGTAATATTTAAAAAAAAAATAGTATTAGCCTTACCTGAAATATAAACCAGTTTCTTGTGGCTCTGGGCGACGAGTAAAGAAGTTTTACTGGTAAGAGGTACTTTTGTGTTCCAGCACATGACGCCATCTTGGGCTACGTTGGCGTACAGCAGTGTTTTGCTTCCACTGTGGAAGTCATGCGACCCGCTCTGAGAAAACGCGCCTCTTACACCTTCCAACTGCAAAATTAAGATGCATTTGTTACGATCTGTGCCTAAATTTCGATCTATACTTCAATACTAATATTATAAAGAGGTAAAATTTGTAAGTTTGTATATAGGGGGTAATATTTGGAACCGCTGGTCGGATTGACAAAATTCTTTCACTGATAGATAGCTACAATGTTCCTGAGTGCTATAAATAGGCAATAAAACATCACGCTACGATCAAATGGAGCTAAGCAGCGAGTGAAACCGTGTGAGATTAGCTATTGTTCAATAAAGTATAATTACAGATCAAATAAAATAGATATGTAGATTATTGACTTCGACAAATGGGTCGCCTCGACCGGAGTGATACCACAGGAAACCAGTGCGGCGTGGAAGAACCACAGCGTTGTGTTTCGCCGTGTGAGTGAGGTTACCAGAGGCCCCAGTTGCCCCATCACTCCCCAATCCTTAATTATCAGAAACCACTTTCCTCAAAAGGCCTTCAACACACTCGTTAACCCTTTGGTGTTGAGGTGGCGTGAGGAGGCGCCAATTATTTATCATCCGGTTATCTGGCTGCTCTTGTACTAAACTATTTCATAAAAAAAAATATAAATTTTGATTCACTAAATTGTTGGAAGCAAATAAATTATTTTTTATGGTATATTCGGCAAACGAGCAGACGGATTACCTGATGGTAAGCAGTCGGCGCCGCTCATGGACATCCGCAATACCAAATGAGTTACGAGTGCGTTGCCGGCCTTTTGGGGATAGGGGTTGCGGATAAAAGGATCGGGAAGGGATAGGGAAAGGAGAGAGATTGGGCCTCCGGTAACCTCACTCACACGGCGAAACACAACGCTGTGGTTGTTTCACGCCAGTCTTCTGTGAGGCCGTGGTATCACTCCGGTCGAGCCGACCCATTCGTGCCGAAGCTTGGCTCTCCCACACTTAAATGATTATGATTCTCTATTTACAAACATTCTTTATTTATTTATTTATTTATTTCATGCACAAAACACATTACAATCAAATATTAGTAGCTTAAGAACTAAAGGTTTTGATCTAGATAGTAACGTAACAATATGTCCATACTGCAAAATTACAGACATTTATGATTCTCAATTTTTTAAATTTTAGTAACTCTATGAGACATAACTACGGCAAATAAATATCTACGTTATAATTTTATGTGCATCTCTGCCGTTCAGTCTCAAAATTTATAGATACGAGAAAAACGATTCACTACCCCCTTGAGTGCTCAAAGGGACTTTTGTCCCTTTTTTGATTTTACCGTTGAGTGCTACAAGTGACTATTGTCCCTTTTTTGATTTTACCGTTGAGTGCTACAAGTGACTATTGTCCCTTTTTCCGTTCCAGTGCGATACGACATCATAATATATTTATTTCTTTCTATCACACGGTGTTTTAATACTTTTTCTCTTTTCTACACGAATCTTAATACATTTCTTCATGCTAAAAATACGACAGTAGTACAACACTGGTTCATTCGGAATGAAAAAAATACTGTCAAAGTCAGTTGTTGGTTCTCGCGCGTTTGGCGGGTGTTATCTCGGGCTAATTTTATTAAAAATCAATTGTGTTTAAGTAGGTTCTTATTATTTATTCGTGTGTAGATAGAATCCTTCCACCATTACAAGTCATAAATATATATGTTACCGCTTAGCTTTTAAAAATAATCTTTTTTAAAGTTCAAACAATCATTTTCAACTATAGTCATTGTTTACAGCTATAAATAAAAACATTTGAAACTTAATGTCAACAAACACTTGAACGACTTGAAAGAGTCATTCATTAGCTTGAATAAAAACATTACTTGAGGCGACTTAAATTACCGACACGTCACAAAACATAAACATCTTGTGACCTCGGCCATCTGGCGCGGCGCGGCGCCATTTTTTTTGCACCGTGAGCACTCGACGTTTTTTTTATGAAATTGTGAAATTACTCAAACGGCTACGCGAGCAATGGAAGTCTAACAATTTTTAACTTTCGCTACCAGGTATGAACTGTAATATTAAAACTGTTTTGCTAAGCGCAATTTTGAGAACGACAGAACCATTTTCGCATTTTTTATTTGCTGGTTATGATTGTTCGAGAGGGATCATCAGATTCTCACTGACTAAACACGGTACCTACCCGGAGAAAGATTTCTTTAAAAATATTTGTGAATATCAGTAATGTAGCTTCCACTTTCTTCCGTTAGCGACGTAGACCGTCGAACCTATCGCTAAATCATTTCAGAATGGTCTTTCGTCCAGTCATTAGAGCCTATTCAATCTAGCCTTTTGAATGAATAGGCGAAATAAGAGTGAATTAGCTCTTAATAAACTAGTGCGCCTTACCATCAACGATTGCATCACTGCTTACCATCAGGTGGGATCGCAGTCAAGCACTAGTTTAAACAAATAAACAAAATTTCAATCCATACCTTATAATTGGCTCCGAAATCAGCATCCTTATTTTTCAAAACCTCATTGGAGACAGAAAACTCCTGGGTGGATATGAAAGGATGGTAGTACGCCGTTCTTTTACCACCAGCATCAGGATTTGAAAGAGCCACGCTGAATAGACCATCCTTCCAGTTGATGGTGTGTTCTGAAACATTATCATCATATTCTCGTCATCGTATCAGAAAGCCAATGAACCTATGTGAAAAGGAGGGATGAAACGCATGTTACAAAAAAAGCCATGAGTATAAATGTGGATGGATGGAGAGGGAGAGGGAGACCAAAGAAAATATGGATGAAATGTGTGAGAAGTGATATGGAAGACACAGGAGTTAGTGATAGCGTGACGAGTGACAGGACAGAATGGAAGAAAAAAACATATTGCGCCGACCCCAAATAAAACGGAACAAGGGCAGGAAGATGATGTATCAGAGAGCCAATAGACCACCATAGATAAGGCCTAACAGGGATCATGTTCATCCAGGGTTGTGAAGCAAGCGAAATAAGTTATCGCGGCCCTGGAGTAAAGCAGGAGATGGAACGGACTGGTTTTTAGTCAGTAGGAGTCTGACACTCCATCTCGTTTCACCCTGGGCGTAAGAAGTTCTGTGATGATTTGCGAACGCAAGATATAAGACAACTGAAGCATCCTCTGAGCCCGAGCCATGTATCCGACGACTTTATTTAATTGATTTTCTGTTGTTTAAAGTATTTCTTATCAAATTTCTTTAGCTGTTGGTAATCCATGTGTTATGAAAAATCTCATAAAGAAACCGTGCCATAAAATATCGCCCTATCAGTAATAACTTCTTTGGTACTGTGAGTGACCATGATTGGGGATTATCACTTACCATCAGGCTATTTGTCTTTTGGATAAACCCGTCCCAAAACCGCTGCAACTCCTGTAAACCAGGATCTACAGTGGTTGTATCAACCATAAACACACCGAAACACTGAAGTCCAGCGCGTCCCAGGGACATGAATAACTGTCATTTGGGTGTGTCACAAATCCTCAAACTGACATATAATAGATAGAATGATTGAAAAGAAAAATGAATATGTAATTAAAATTATTTATTTCAAATAGCCCACAAAGAAAAAGTATCAAAAAGTTTTTGTGTCAGTCTTTCGGTCTGCCCTCTAGTGAAGCTATTTGCTCGTCCCAAAGTGTAGATCCCAATGGAGAAGGACTAGCAAGAAACTCCATGGTTACTCTTTTTAATCAGTTTCACAATTCATTCAGTCGTTTCTATTACATATGTGAGAATAATGTGCAATAACATCCATTAAATAGTGGAGTTACTGTACTGCACCTGTTTTTTTTTTTTGTGAGGGGAAAATCACCAAATGATTTCTCCCGCCCAGGGTCGGGCGGGAGGGAGTGTCAGACTCTTACTGACTAAAAACACCGTTCCCTCTCCTGCTCTGGGCCGAGGTCGCGGTGCCTCATTGCGCTTACACCGCAACCCCGGCTGAACATGAGCCCTATAGGGCCCCGTCTGTGGTGGTCTATTGGTTCTTTGTGGCAGCGTTGAACCCGTGCGAAGACGGGGCGGGTCACAATTTTTTTTACATATTTTTTTTATTGCCTATTGTGTGTCCCACTACTGGGCAAAGGCCTCCCCTTTTCCTTCCAAACTTCTCTGTCTAGAGCGATCTCCGGCCAAGTTTGCCCCGCGAACATGATCAGATCGTCACACGAATGAACCCGGACAGATGGGCGAAGGTTGTCACTCACTGGACACCTGAAGGAGGTCGACCACGGCGAAGGTGGTGTTTTTTTTGTGACGTGAAAATCATCAAGTGACTTCTCCCGCCCAGGGCTGGGCGGGAGGGAGTGTCAGACTCTTACTGACTAAAAACCCCCCTGTTCCTTCTCCTGCTCTAGGCCGAGGTCGCGGTGCCTCATTGCGCTTACCTCGCCACCCCGGCAAGGCGAAGGTGGTGTGACGATCTGATCATGTTCACTAATAATAATAATAAATAATCCGGGCGAGCTGTTGGGCAGTGGTGACCCCACGGACCTGACTCCCGGGAGGTGTCTTGTTCTTCATCTCCGGTTAGTCTTCGTGACGAGCTGGAGTGAACACTGATGAGGAACAAGCCCTCTCACCTCATTCTTGCCTTAATTGGCTGGCTTGAGTGGAGATTCGCAAGAGTAGGAGTTGAAGGAGACTCGGGGGAAGGATGTATCTCAGTAAGATGCTGGTAGGGGTCTTGACCGTACTTCCGGGATTGCTCTGATAGCCGTGGGATGCCTCTCCTTCCCCAAGCAGCTCAACGTATGTTGCCCCCGTGTCGCTACATGCTAGCGGCCGTTTCCGGGGGCCCATTAATTGAGTTTGCCAGTCACCCCCTGCCTGTTTATCCGTATGTATCAATATTGGTCAGGGGCAGGGGCCATAGTATTTCCATAGTTTTCATCCACTAGTCCATAGCAACCCATATCCATAACCTTATAAATTTTTACCACATTTCGCAATAGTCCTCCATCAACCGGGGATTGTCCTTGGGTGCACTTTCATAGTGCATACAGGGATAACTGCCGGCTGATGTCCCATTTCACTTATATTAAAGTTGTTCAAAGGGCCTCTGCGAGTTGGTTTCGGCCCCTCGTACGCCTTCCAAAAGTCCGGGACCCTGTGGTCCCGTGAGTGGAAAGGAACATACAAAATAATAAATAAAAAAGTAACTTACGTGCCACCTTGAAGTCTGTAGCCCCAACATCATAATTGAAAGTCTTATGTGAGATCCTCCATGTAGATCTTTGTTTTAATGAGAAAACGATCAGTCCATTTCTTGCCAAATCGTTTATGTAGGCGAACGCGTCGTCACATTTTGTTGGTAAAACGTCAACTGTTATCGATGTAAGACCTGGAGATGATAAATATAATATTAATTTTTTTTAATGGTACAGGTCGGCAAACGAGCAGACGGATTACCTGATGGTAAGCAATCAGTGCCGCCCATGGATACCCGAAACACCACAGAAGTTACGAGTGCGTTGCCGGCCTTTTTTTTTTGTTTTTCCTTTATTATCAAAACATAAAAACATACAATTTTCTGTTACAATAGCACAAATAAACCACTGAGGTTTGTCCTTATGCTACGGAAATCGGATCTCAATACAATTGCTGACGAATTATACAATAAAGAATTACAATACAATCAATAGTAAGTGTGTGAGAATTGAATAGACAAGTACATCACCACGTTCAATTCCCCATGCCATCCAACAGATGTTAGATGTTTTTAGGGATAAGGGTTTCAGATATTTAAGGATGAGGAAGGGATGGGGGAGGGGAAGGGATTGGGCCTCCAGCTCTCCAGTGTGTGCGAATAGGCCAGCTCGACCGGGAGACAATCTCACAGTATCGCCAGCCTAAGGTACATAATTATGTAGGTTGTTAGAGATTTTTATGATTGGGTATTTGGAGATTGGGGGCCTGTTGATTAGGGATTGGAAATAGCTTAGGTGCGAATAAGCTGGCTCAACCGGGAGACAACCTCACAGTATCGCCAGCCTCACGTTTGTTTGTTGAGATAATGAGGATTGGGTATTTGGGGATTGGGGAATGGGCGTTTGGGGGCCTATTGATTGGGGATTGGAAATAGGAGATTTGCGAATTAGGATAGAGGATTGATAATGGGCAATCAAATTTTGGTTTGGGGTTGGGGATTGGGGATTGACAAAAGTATATAGGGGTAAAGAATTGGGCTTCCAGTAACTACACTCACACGGTAGCAGAACCGTTATTTCACGCCAGTATGCTGTGAGAACTCAAAAATATTTTAGTTATAGATACCTGAAGTAGTTCCATTTACAAGGACATCCATTGGTATTTCATGTCTCAATATTTCTGAATCAGTCTTCAGGTCAAATATTATGATTTGCGGTGCCCTTTTCTGTTCGAAGTTATCTGGAATAACAGCATCATAAAAATCTTAGCCTACTGATTATTATAAATGAAGTCGTGGTGGCCCGGAGGTTAAGAAGCCCGCTTCTCATTCATGAGGGTGTAGGTTCGAAACCTGGCAAGTACCAATGTGACTTTTTCCGAGTTATATGTACTTTCTATGATTATTTAGACACCACTGACATTAGGTGAAGGAAACCTGGACTTATAATTTCTAATTATAAGTTTTCAAATCGCCAACCCGCTTGAGCAAGCGTGGTGATTAATGCTCTAACCTTCTCTGTATGAGAAGAGGCTTTTGCTCAGTAGTGGGCAGTTATAGGCTGGTGATGATGATTTTATAAATGTAAAAGTTTATGAGAATATACATAATATATTATATACTAGCTACTCTCGCGCGGTGTCGCCCGCTGCTCGGCTTCATATCCATCGTCACAATCGTAGCGTGATGTTTTATAGCCTATAGTACTCAGGAACATTGTAGCTATCTATCAGTGAAAGAATTTTGGCAATCCGACTAGCGGTTCCAAAGATTACCCCTACATACAAACTTACAAACTTGCAAACTTACAAACTTACAAACTCACAAACATACAAACTTACAAATTTTACTTTATAATATCCGTATAGATAATATTTGTATGTGTGTATGTTTGTTATTCTTTCATGCCTTAACGGCTTGACCGATTTGGTTGAAGTTTGGCATCTAGATACCGATACCCTGAATTTTCAACATACCACGCGGACCAGGCCGCGAAGTTATAAAGTAGAGTAAGTTAATAAGTTGTTCATTATCAAACCTTCTTCATGTGAGAAAAGGCCCTTGCTCAGCATTGAGAATTTATAGGCTGATGACGTGCACTTATAGGCGGTAATCTTACGAAAAGACCACCAGTATACTTACTCGGTACTTCGAGAAGACCAGTGTCAACCATCCACAGTCTTTCACAGGCATCAACTCGAGGACGGTAGACGGAGATGAAAGAATCTATGCTTTCAGTATTCGGGTAAGGTTTGAGAAATGGTGATGTTCCAACAACCAGCTCCACGACGTTCAGTGTAGATGGGATTCCTGAAATTTTATAGAAAACCTTTTAAACCCTGGACCACTGGGTTTAACCTTACAATCGTGTTAATTCAAGAGTCAAAAGAATTACAATAGCTGCGCGAACGCCAACGTTCGCTTGGGTTTTCTTGTTATATGACGGCAAACGAGCAGACGGATGATATGACGATGGCCTGATGGTAAGCAATCGGCGCCGCCCGTAGACACTCCAATACCAAAGGAGTTACGAGTGCGTTGCCGGCATTTTAAGGATAAGGGTTTCGGATATTTAAGGATTGGGAAGGGATGGGGAGACACACACGTCGAAACACAACGGTGTGGTCGTTTCACGTCGGTTTTCTGTGACGCCGTGGTATCACTCAAGTCGAGACGACCTATTCATGTCGAAGATTGGCTCTCCCACACGGTTTGATTACGGCGTCTGATTTTTATGTATAGCCACAGTATATAGAAGCACTCTTAAAGATTGTGAGTACGCATATGTGAGCGTCATGTTCGAGACGACAAAGGATTAAAGTTTTATGATAGGTCCCATCTTTTGTTCTTTTTTTTACAACTTGTCTCTGCATTGTTCTCACATAAGGGTACAATAATGTATACTAAATGTTATATTATTGAAATTGTACAACATTTTTTTTAAAGGAGAACCAAGGGTTCGTTTATGCTCGTTCTTTTCCGTTCGAATCTACAATTTTTAATGAGCACCTAGCTTCACTGACGAACAGACTGACAGCCTACTTCTCTATTTGGACGTTTCAAAAGTACCTGTATATAGTTTAGTTGGAATAAATGATTTTAAGGCAAGGTCAAATCAAATCAAATCAGGAAGCAGACCTTCTTATTTATAGCGACATCTACCGCACAACTCTCAGCAACAACGCCAATCACATTCAAGTTTCTATTTCGCGGTATAACAAGTTCTTGATGCAAAACTGGTACAAAACCCCAACAACAACCGTCGGGCAGTAGCCCACCAGACATAACACTCGCCTCGTCAGACGATATCCTCCCTCGCCAATGGAGGATGAGGAACTTTACACTTTATAGAAGCTAGTTTGGAGAATCCAAACTAGCTTCTGCCAGCGACTGCGTCCGCGTGAGATAGTTAGTGATTTTTGGCAGATTTTTGGTTTAACCCACATAGTTCCCGGTCTCGTAGGGAACGGGAATAGGGAGGTTCTCCTCTCAGGATAAAAACTATCATATGTCCTTTTGCGAGTTTCAAACTATGTCTGTACAAATGTTTATCAATCAAGTGTGGGAGAGCCATGCTAAGTGTGGGAGAGCCATGCTAAGTGTGGGAGAGCCATGCTAAGTGTGGGAGAGCCATGCTAAGTGTGGGAGAGCCATGCTACGTGTGGGAGAGCCATGCTAAGTGTAGGAGAGCCATGCTTCGGCACGAATGGGTCGGCTCGACCGGAGTGATATGTCCATGGGCGGCGGTGATTGCTTACCATCAGGTAATCCGTCTGCTCGTTTGCCGACCTATTACATAAAAAAAACCAAATCGATTCAGTAGTTTAGGAGTGAAACAGAGATAGACAAATAGACAGAGTTGATTGAAATAAAATAAACAGAATTTTGAAGAAAACTTACAGCAACACATTGAAACAACACAATAAATTATTGATATTTAGCGCGCCACAAAACGTGTTATAAGTTCCTGGTTCCTGGATATTTCGTAGATAAAGTTAGCATGGCTCTTCCACACTTGTGATGACCTCGAATTAAAACTTTACATCCTTGTAATAAAGTCGAAAACACCTTACCGTATCGCCTTCTAGGAACAGTAATGAAAACTTTCTGGTTGTACACCTCAAATCCGATCGGTATATTGTTATATTGCTTGAAGAACTGACTTTTCTCATCCACTTCATCCTTGAAGAAAATTCCATCCAATTTCTTCTGTACCGGTTCGTCTTTGGAATCTGTAATGATAGGAATGATCTATACTACTTTTCAAGTGTGGGAGAGCCAAGCTTCGGCACGAATGGGTCGGCTCGACCTCGGAGTGATACCACGGCCTCACAGAAAAGCAGCGTGAAACAACCACAGCGTTGTGTTTCGCCATGTGAGTGAGGTTACCGAAGGCCCAATCCTTCCCTCCCCACATCCCTGTCCAACCCCTAAATCTGCCAAATACCTAATCCCCAAAAGGTCGGCAACGCATTCGTAACTCCTCCGTTGTAGGTGTCCATGGGCGGCGTTGATTGCTTACCATCAGGTAATCCGCTTGCTCGTTTAGGCATCCCCAGGGTTAGGCGGGAGAGAGTGTCAGACTATTACTGACTAAAAACCCCCCCGTTCCTTCTCCTGCTCTGGGCCGAGGCCGCGGTGACTCATTGCGCTTACCCCGCAACCCCGGCTGAACGTCAGCCCTATAGGGTCCCGTCTGTGGTGGTCTATTGGCTCTTTGAGACGCGCGCGGAAGGCAACGCATCGTACGCAAATTCAAATACCCCTGATTTTTGTCATCATACCAGCCATTATGATCTATCAGTGTGGGAGAGCCAAGCTTCGGCAAGAATGGGTCGGCTCGACCGGAGTGATACCACGGCCTCACAAAATATCACCGTGTGAGTGAGGTTACCGGTGGCCCAATCCCTCCCCTTCCCCTATCCCTTCCCAATCCTTATATCCGCAACCCCTATCCCCAAAAAGCCGGCAACGCACTCGTAACTCCTTTGGTGTTGCGGGTGTCCATGGGCGGCGCTGATTGCTTACCATCAGGTAATCCGTCTGCTCGTTTGCCGATCTATTACATAAAAAAAACAGTTTAGGTGGTTAACTAAAGGTAAACAATGTTGGTATGTCTTTTTATATTAAAGAGCTCGTATAGAATACATACAAAGATTATTTAAATTTAGTTTATTAGCTAACATCGATTTAGGGACCTTAATACCAGATAGTAAAAAGATGACCTACAATTTTAAAACAACTTATAGATAAAAAAAATCCTAAGATTGTTTACATTTATTGCTGATTTTTCAATGATTAGATAAAAGTTATCTGCGGAATAATTGTGATGCTGTCGCGTCAGAATGTTTGTATAAGACAGTGACAGCAACAATTTTATTCCTTACTAGCTTCTCTCGCGCGGTTTCACCCGCTGCTCGGCTCTATTTAATCGTAGCGTGATGTTTTATAGCATATAGCACTCAGGAACATTGTAGCTATCTACCAGTGAAAGAATTTTGGCAATCCGATCAGCGGTTCCGAAGATTACCCCCTACATACAAACTTACAAATTTTCCTTATGTAACATTAATCCACCTGCACCAAGGTTGCGAGTCATGCATAAATTATAATGTTTTCCTTATTATTCAGGTAGATATATTCGTCCTAAACCGAATTAAGTATTTTCCTAAGCCAAAAATAAATTATTTTGATTAATCATCATCATCATTATCAAAGTCAAAGTCAAAGTCAAAATCATTTATTTCAATTAGACCCATACAGGCACTTTTGAACGTCAAACAAAATTTTAAAGATATAAAGTGTCAGTCTGTCGGTCAGCCCTAGTGAAGCTATTTGCTCGTTCCAAAGTGTAGATTCCGATGGAGAAGAACGAGCAAGAAACTCCATGGTTACTCTTTTTAAATCAGTGTCACATAAAGATTCTTTGATACATTATTTAGTTGGTTTGATTATGTGAGAACAGTGTAACGCGTGTATACAGAGAAACATAAAAAGAAAATAACCTTAAGGACAATAAACAGTCCGGAGCTGACCAGTCCCAATTGACGGCGCCCGTTCAAGAACATGACACGTTCCTGAGTACTATAGGCTATAAAACATCACGCTACGATTAAATGAAGCCGAGCAGCGGGTGCAACCGCGCGAGATTAGCTAGTTATTAATAAAAGTATTGAATTTGACTAGTTGGAAACTACCTACCTACTTAAAAGATTATTGACTTGCTTTTACGAAAAAAAAACAAAAAACAATCTCAATTTTTTTTTGTTTATAATATATAATATATAGATATACCTACTGGTTCTTTTTAATTTTATTCTAATAACCTGTATATGCACAACACAGCTACGAAATGTGACACAAAATCGACGTATTCTTGAAGGAAGATAATGATCAAATGACGTTTCCTACCCTGGTTGAGGAGAGTCAGAAATTATATATATGCTAATATTATAAATACGAAAGTAACTCTGTCTGTCTGTCTTTTCTTCACGCCTAAACTACTGAACCGATTTCTGTGAAATTTGGTACTGACATAGTTTTTTTCGACTTATAGCTACTCTCACGCGGTTTCACCCGCTGTTCAGCTCTTAGCAGTTTGATCGTAGCGTGATGTTTTATAGCCTATAGCACTCAGGAACATAGTAGCTATCTATCAGTGAAAGAATTTTGGCAATCCGACAAGCGGTTCCAAAGATTACCCCCTACATACAAACTTACAAATTTAACCTCTTTATAATATTAGCATATATAAAGGGTAATAAACAAAAAAAAAAAAACACAAGTAGGTACTTACATTTGATCCCGTCGAAATCATAGCTTAATTGCTTCCAAGAAAACACTTCAGTGAAATGCTTAAAACGATTGTCGCCAATGTAATACTGTGATTTGCAATCTTGTATTAACAATAATATTGTTAAAGGAAATAACTTAATAATAAATAAATGCATTTTCTTCGTAAATTTTGTAAGCGTTCGTCCGAGTGTCTCGCTAAAAGGGTACTGGCAAAACTTGTTTTCGAATTAATTTATTTAAAGTAAGGTCGTTCCACATTGGTATTTTCAAATGACAATATATTTTTGTTTCACTTTTTGTGGGTACCGGTAAGTTTATTTTCCTCAATAATAATTATAGATTTTCGAAGCAGTAGCCATTTTTAAACACGACTGTCCCAAAAAGCAGTGTTATGATTTTAGAGTTCATGTGTGTATATGAGTTTATTCCACCGTAAGTTCCAAACTCCTGGGCAGAATTAGGCATATAGCATATCGTTGGAATCCTTATAACATGGATTTTGATTTAATTTTTGTCAACTTAGCTTTAATTTTACTTTTTTGTTCAAAATTGATTAATTATTTTAATAACCGCGCTTAATACATGTAATAATAATGCATGTTGCATGCATTATTATTGCATGCTGTGCTTCTCTATAAGTAATGGGGCACTTAGAATTAAATTTGAAATGTACAATTTATATAGTTTTTTATTATAACTTTCGTGGGACATTCTAAATTATTTATTATGTTTTCGGCTTACTCACGGAAAAATTTGACGAGATACTCGAGTAGCCAGTAGCAGCGCGACAGTCGCCGAGTCGCGTGTCGCGGAATGCTGCTCATGAATATGGGCCTCTAGCATGGCTTGAAACTAGTCGAGTATCTCGTCAAATTATTACGTGAGTAAACCGAAAACATAATAAATAATTTATATAGTATAGTGTACTCATTGTTGAGAAGCCTAAAATAAATAAATAAAGATTCAGTGTGACAAAGGCTGGATTGTGCCAAATTAATGTGTAATGATAGCTAAAACAAAAATAATAATTTGAAAAAAATATGGCGACATTATGATTATGTTAATGTCACAGAGAACTGTCCTCCGAACGCAATAAAAATTTTTAGCTTAATCAATCCTCATGACAACTTGTTTTTTACTTTTTAGTTCATGTCTGAATATGGCATAAGTGTTTTTTATTTTTTATTGATATTATAATGTTAATATCCGTCTTTAGGACATGTAAATGTTGCAGACAAAAATAGTGTAATAAGCCATCCAATCAACGCGCAACGGCTTAAACGACTAGTCGTTTGATTGAATGTCTTATTTTTTTTTATGTCGTATATCGGCAAACGAACTAGCTCCCCCCTCCCCGTTATTCTCGTGCTCCAGGTTAAAGCCGCAGTACCTTTTTGCGCTTAACCCGCTATTCTGGCTAATATTTTATACCCCTGCGTAGCTGGAACGGGCAGCTAGTATCCTATAAAAACCCTCATTTAAAGATGGCACTGTAGCATATACATATAAATGTAGCCTGCCTCAAATGAACTTTAAATTCTTCAACCCAGAGTTTAAGTGTGGGAGAGCCAAGTTTCAAGTTGGTTCAACCGAAGTGATACCATGGCCTCACAGAAAACCGGTGTGGAACAACCACAGCGTTGTGTTTCGCCGTGTGGTTGAGGTTACCGGAGGCCCAATCCCTTCCCCTTTCCCCTCCCTTCCCCTTTCCCCATTCTTCCCCTTTCCCCATCCCTTCCCCTTTCCCCATCCCTTCCCAATCCTTAAGTATCTGAAATCTTTAATCCCCAAAAGGCTAGCAACGCCCTTAGACCGCCTTTAGCAGCGTTTAAAGCGATAGAGCCTATAGGAATCAGTGTAAGAATTTCGGAAATTTGACCAGCCGTTCCAAACACCTTACATACGAGTACAAACTTAATAAATTTTCCCCTATACATATAATATTAAGTGTAGAAGTAGAATGCTAATTATGAATAAGTCCTAAGCGACTTTATCAAGTTCATTAGAATATCATTTACTATTTATAATGTTGTTAGAATGTGCATTACAATATACTATGTATACATACATACATAGTGTCTATGATATATCTCTATATATGCTGCTATATGTATATCTATCATATGCAATCATAGAATACCTACATAATATGCTATTTTTAACGACATACTCCAGCTACTATTATCGCTAAGTAAGATCCTGACCCTGGTCATTGTGTTTTTTTTTGTGAGGGGGAAAATCATCAAATGACTTCTCCCGCCCAGGGCTGGGCGAGAGGGAGTGTCAGACTCTTACTGACTAAAAACCCCTCAATCCCCGACGCCCGTAGTGTCGCCAGTTGCGTCCTCTTTTTGAGTAGCGGTCTTGCTAGCTATGGTGGAAGCAGAGCGCGTAAGAGAACGACTCTTTTTACGACCAAGGGCTGACAGAAGACACCTTAAAGCGCTCAAACCACTACAAATTGGTCGGTTTCAAGTGTAGGTATCGGGTTTAAGTGTTATAATGTACCGTGGCTTCAGCCCGGAGTCGAATGAAAGGGGTTGGTTTTAGTCAGTAAGGCGATTTTCACACTGCCCCGTATCATGCTGCATATTGCGTGTCGACGCACCTTCCCGCGTTTCTGCGGCAGTGGAGATCTGCATCATCGTGCGAGTTTTTTGCGCACTCACGCGCGTATGTGTGTGTTATAGATATTCACGCACGGCGGCTCTCATTTATTCGCTGTGGTGGTCGTGCAAAAACTGAGCATCACGATAGTTTTGATAAAAATGGTTAATAGTGTGGAACTCATTCAGGATGCTGCCATTATACTATTTGGTTTTTGTAAAATTAAAATTAACTAATAAATTAAAATTAAATTGTCAAATTAAAACAAATCGTGCCTATATATACCTAAGATAGGTACTAGGTACAAACAACCAACCATTCATAATCACGCGCGGCACTGCGGGATTTGGTGTGCCATACCTTGCGTATCGCCCCGCACCTACGCGCGGGGGATCATGTTTCTCCGCGTGTATCCGCGTGATCCGCATGACCGCGCGTGGATGGATTTTCTAGGTGTTACACTGTGCGTATTTTCTATACAAGCGGAGATACTTACAAGCAACGGAAGAACACGCATCCACACGCTGTGAGAAACGCCTAAGAGTCTGACACTCCCTTTCGTCACAACCAGGGCGGTAGAAATCATTTGATGATTTTACATCTTTTATGTCACATACCATTCTCTACTCAATAGTAAATAAATAGGTTAAATAAATAAAACAATTTTAAATACGTAAATAATATTGTTTGTAATAAAATGAGTATTTATTTTGTTCGGTATTTTATTATTGGTACAACATACATACTTAACTTGCGTATTCGACAACTAGATGGCAGCGCTTAAAGTATTAGTTAGTTACAGTTGCAATTCATAGATGGCGGCTTTTCCAAACGCTTCTTTGTTTTTTTATTTTCATTCCAGTTTATTTTTAATATACTTGTTTGTTTGAAAAAAAAATGATAAGCTATGCTGCTGAGTGATTATTTGTTTAGGTTTGATATTTTTGTTTATGAGTTATTAATTTATACTATTCTTGTGTGTGACATGCCGAGGTCCCTCCAAGTTGTGAAGTATTGTTTGAAGATCGCAGGTTCAGTGCCCTGAGGTATCTTCAGTACTTTGACCTAGAAAAAAAAATAACCTCAAATTATTTATTTGAAATAGACTACAATATGAACTTTTGAATGTCACACAAAAAATAAATATCAAAACATTTGTGTGTCAGTCTGTCGGACTGTCATCTAGTGAAGCTATGTACTCGTTCCAAAGCTGTATATTTTCTCTTCTCGTCGTCAAGCACCATCTAGAAAATGGCGTAAAACAACCTCAGTGTTGTGTTTCACCGTGAGCATACCGAATAGCTGTGCCGAATTCTTGCTTTCGCCCATAAGGGCATCAACTACAATTTTTGGCGATTAAAAGGTTTTAAAAGAATAACTAAGTATTTTGCTTACCCAAGACGCGTAATTCTTTGACGACAACAGTTGCTGAGCTTTGTTCATAGCTTCAGTCTTCTCCTGTGAACAAAAATAGGTAAATAAGCTAAAGTTATTAATCAGTGTGGGAGAGCTATGCTTCGGCACGAATGGGTCGGCTCGACAGGAGTGATACCACGGCCTCACAGAAAACCGGCGAGAAATAACCACAGCGTTGTGTTTCGCCGTGTGAGTGAGGTTACCGGAGGCCCAATCCTTCCCCTCTCCCAATCCCTCCTCAATCCCTAAATCTCCAAATCCCTAATCCCTAAAAGGTCGTCAACCCACTCGTGACTCCTCCGTTGCGCGTGTCCATGGGCGGTGCTGATTGCTTACCATCAGGTAATCCGTTTGCTCGTTTGTCGACCTATTACATAAAAAAATTACAAACTACTCCAACAAAAAAAAACATTATTCCAGCTGTAAGGTAGAAAGCCCAGCTCCGGCATGAATAGGTCGACGACAGAAAACCGTCGTAAAATAACCACAGCTGTGTGCTTCGCTGTGAGTGAGGTTATCGGAGGCCCAATCCCTTTCCCTCGCCCCATCTCTTCCCAATCTTTTAATATCCGGAACCTTTTATCCCCATAAGACCGGGCACGCACTCATAACTCTCTTGGTGTTGTGGGCGGCACCGATTGCTTACCATCAGATAATCCGTCTGTTTTCTCCAGTTTGCCGACCATGCCGATGAAAAAAGAATTGTGTCAGTTATTCTAAGTAAGCATCTCACCCTCTCCGTAGCTTGCTTGCCGGTCCAAACGTAAATGCTACCGGTCACTGTGTCCAAAATGTATGCTTCCTGTAAGCATGTTTAAAAATGTTAGCTTTGCAATACAAAGTTTTTTAAGAGTATTCTCGTGAGACATACTAAGTTAATTGAAATAAATTTAAAATTAAAAAAAACGAAATATTCCTTTAAAAAATAATAATTAAAAGAAAACGTGGAGTTGAGGGACCAATCCAAACATTTTTTTATCAACTAGATATATCTATTTTGTCAATGGTCTAATTTATTTTTTTATTTTATACTTTTTATAGGTATTTTATAATATAATTTTCTCTCGATTAAGTCATCAACATTCCCTTTCAGTGCGCTTTCATTTGACACCCCACTCGCGTATATTTGCAGACCTTCCGTTATCCTTCCCCACTTACCCCACATAACTTCTAAACGGCTCAACCGATTTTCGTCAAACATGTCTAAGTACACTCGCACGTAAGTCACCTTTAATACAAAAAAACTAAATTGAAATCGCTTCACCCGTTTAGGCTCCAGACAGATAGACAGACAGACACGTCAAACTTATAACAGCCCTCTTTTAGCGTCGGGGGTTAAAAACGACTTACTCACGTGACATTAACTGAGAAAAGATCTACTGGTTTGCGGTCGACTGCGTGCCGTCGTCGCAACGAGCACGCTGCTCATGAATAAGGCCCAATTCACACCTAAAGCGCGGCGAAGGGCAGCGAAGCGCAGCGACCTGCTCGGTACAGAACGCGCGCGGATTCCCGCGACTGCTCGAGAATTCGCTGGAATGCTCGCGAAGTCGCGGGACTCCGCGCGCCTTTTCGAGCCCGCCCCCGCGATGAATTCACGGGCCGCTCTTCTAGCGCAGTTGAGTTTCAACAAAACAAGAGGACACTTGTGTTTAAGCAGTCATATGGGTGTTTTGGATTTAATCATTATTGCACATATAATTGAAGAGGAAGAAGCCGAAGAGATAATGAGAAATAAGAAAAGATTAAAAAGAAAAAGAAACTTTTGGGAACACGACCTCGCGGCCGCTCGCTACTGCTCGAGCATTCTCGGGAGATCCCGCGCAGTCGCACGACTCCGTTCATGGAATTCGCGGGAAGTCCCGCGGCGCCGCGGGCATCCGCGCGACTCGTTCGACTTTCTCATGCGAAAATATACTTTATAGTAATGGGATTAAAGTAAAAATTCAAATGACACTCAAACCGCGCTTCGCTTCGCTGCGCTTCGCCGCGCTTTTGGTGTGAATTGAGCCTAAGAGTCCCGTTATGACTTGAAACTGGTAGAGTTCTTCTCAGTTAATAATAATGAAGTACCATTACGTTATATGTAAGTTCATCTAATTACCATTTAACAGGTTTCTCAATTATCGATATTTGTTTTTGATTCTATTTTCATGATAAAACTCACTTCTTTAATGTACAACCTGAATTTTTTTGTACATCATTTGGTGCAATCGTTATAATAGTCATGATATCCTATTCTACCTACATGAAGCGATTCTCCTCCATTTTTCTCCATCGTACCTCGCGTCCATCGCCTACGAATTCAGACATCACTATGTCTCCTAAGTATTGCAAATAAAAAATATAGAAGTGCATATACATACAAAATCACTGTCTTAGCCATGAAAAAAATAAATACCTATATTTTATAAAAAACTGTTGATGTGCTTTTGTCGACCTGGGAGCTTCCCCTGCGAGAGGTAGTGTCAGACTCTTACTGACTAAAAACCACACCATTTCCTCTCCAGCTTCGGGCCGAGGCCGGGTAAATTATTAGACTTGTACCCTATATCAATGTTAACAAGGTAAGGACACACGGTTTTCCATGGCGGCATCCATAAACTAACCGCGCCCGATGTTGCTTAATTTCGCTGATGGCACGAAACCTGGTGTTGTACATATTGTATGTTATGGATGGCTGCGTATTATATTTACCTTTTTTTTGTCAAGGGAAAATCATCAAATGACTTCTCCCGCCCAGGGTAAAGCGAGAGAGTGTCAGACTTACTGACTAAAACCCCCCTGTTCCTTCTCCTGCTCTGGGCCGAGGTCGCGGTGCCTCATTGCGCTTACCCTGCAACCGTATTATATTTACCTGTGGTTTCAATTGTGCCTGTGTGTATGGCTTGGAGAGAGCAGTGACCTTCACTTTTCCTGAAGAATCCGACACTTCTGATAGAACAATTGATTGTTCTTCAGTGCGCTCGAAGGCCTGTGCAGAAAAGAGTCTATGATTTTTTTTTTCATTTGTTTTATTTATATAAAACGTTGCCAACACACTAGGATTTTCTCCCGTGTCGTGGGAACGTTAACAAACATACTATTTCACATACACATCACACTCAGACCCGGAACAACAAGCCCGCGACACGTTGCAAAGCAGCCACCGCACTAACGCTGGAGTCGAAGAAGAAAAAGTTTGTTTGTTTTTCTATGACGTCACAAAATACCACTTTCGGGATTAGTTTTTATGGCTCAAGATAATTAAAAAATATTATTTTCAAGGAAGAAATTCATGTAATCAGTGCTATGGCAAATAATCTGCACGTCGAATCTATAAAGTTGTTTGATTTTGAATCGTGTTCGAGTGTGAAGTGAGCGTTGAAGTGACGGGGAAATTAAATTTTAGAATGCCACTTTTAACGTCATCTCATACTTTATCTATCAAAATGTTGCTGTCAATTTAGTTCAACTCGCAAGTGTAGCGCTAGTGTACTACTACTCACGGCGGATTCAGATTCGAAGTTTAGAATGAAGTCTTACAGAATCACACTGCAGATAGCGATGGCACAGCCAATGAACACCCGAAAGACTAGTGGAGTTGCAAGTGTGTTTTTAGGAGTTAGGTTTTCGGCATTTGGAAATTGGATCTAGAAGGAGGAAAAGGGTTAGGCCTCCGATTACTTCACTTCAGGGCGTGTTCAATACACACTAGTTTTATTTAAAATCCTACTTGTGTCTCCTGTTCAAAATCTCCCTAAAGCCCGCAGTACAAATTGGGCGAAGGGATTGGACTAGCCTATTGGTCCAACGTATAGAGAGCTACTTGGCGATATCTTGGTAACGATGTTCCGGTTGGCGGCAATATTGGCGAGCAAACCGAATCTTGTCAGTTTTTTGTCCAGACATCTAAGGATCTTGGCGCGCCGCTACCAGCATACCCCCAAGTAGACCTTTACACGTTGGGCCAATAGGTTGGCCCTATACCTTGGGCCAATGTGTACTGCAGGCTTATCATTTTACCCTACATGTTGGCCCAATACCTTGGCCACATGTGTACAGCCGGCTTTAAATATTTCCAGTATTTGGCACGGCGAAACACAACGCCGTGGTGTATCAGTGCGGTGTTTTTGTGCGCAAGTATCACTCTAATCATTCCGGCTCATTCGTGCCGAAGCATGGCTCTGGCATACTTAAATTTTTTCCGCTTTCACCACATTGTATTGCTTTATTAGGTTAATTTTGAAGATCTAACCTGATCGTCTCCACCAGCGCTTGCTTCTGGCACCAGGTCTTTGGCTCCTGATCCTAGTGCGGTGAAGAACTTCTGGGTATCCACATCGTTGGAGTATTGGTCTGTGAAGCGAATTTGTTCGATTTTATTTATTTAGGTCTACTTAAAATATGCAAAAAGTATTAACAGTTGTATTGGTAAAAACTTCAAGGCGACGAAAAAACTGTGCTTTTGTATTTATCGGAACGGATTTCAGAAATTCCATTGTTTTTTATTTTTATTTCAGAAGAGTTGTACACGTTTGCTTTTTTACGTAACTCAACTGTTTGCCAGTTTAACATGAATCTTATATAATTAAAAGTCAGCTTGCAAATAAAGAGCCAGAAGGATAATACTACAAAAAACGTATACCATTAAAAACGCTTTTAAACAGCTTTGATTGATTTGATTTTTTTTAGAATTTCACACAAACAAACACAAACGCACACACACACACACACACACACACACACACACAAACACACACACACACACACACACACACAAACACACACACACACAAATCACGCGCAAACGCGCGCGAAATACGATGGTCTGATGCCTCATCTTCTGGTTAAGTTCTACGTAGAAATGACTTACCAATAATTTCCACTCTAGCTCTCCCATTATGATCCTGGTCTCTGATCTGGTTGGCTACCGACATAGCCTTCAGTTTCTCCATATTCTTTGCGCTTTCTCCGACGTAGACGTAGACTTCGTTACCAATGTCCAGGATGAAACAGTCTCCTTTGTTCATCGAAGAGATCAGGGGGTCTACCTGGGAGGTTTCGCAATAGGTTAATAAATTAGCTTTCTTATAGGATAGGTCTGCAAAAGGAGAGACTTATAACCTAATAATAAACATTAGCCCAGTCTATAACGCAATAGGCGACATTCCGGGCGTCGGGGATCGAGAGATGATCTCCGGCCACCGTAAGCGCGGCTCTGCGGTCGGCGAGCAAGGGCAGCTCGCCGCCCGACCAGAACCAGGCCCGAGCGTACGGCGCGTAGCGTTCCGCGCGCGTCTCAAAGAGCCAATAGACCACCACAGACGGGGCCCCATAGGGCTGATGTTCAGCCGGGGTTGCGGGGTAAGCGCAATGAGGCACCGCGACCTCGGCCCAGAGCAGGAGAAGGAACAGGGGGGTTTTTAGTCAGTAAGAGTCTGACACTCCCTCCCGCCCCGCCCTGGGCGGGAGAAGTCATTTGATGATTTTTCCCTCACAAAAAAAGCCCAGCCTATAACCTCAGCCTATAAACTTAAAAAAAGGAGCTACTACTAAAAGTACGATACCGATTGATTTATGAATAAGGGATTTTGGGATTAAGGATGGGGGTGGTTAAAGATTGAGTTACCTCACTTACACGGTGTTATTTCACATAGCTATCACTCCGGTCGAACTGAGCCATACGCGCCGAAGCATGGATCTCGCACACTTCGGCTAACCAAGCTTTGGCACGAATGGGTCGGCTACCGCGGCCTAACAAATTCACCGTAAACCACAGTGAGTGAGTTTCCCAGTTGCCCAATCCTTCCCCCTTCTATGAGCCTTAAAATCCCCAACTGTCTATGAGCTGCACCGATCACTTACCATAAGGTAATCCGCCTACTCGTCCGACCTATCACGAAGAAAACCAGTGACTTAGTAAAAAATGTTTACCTGCCGTGTACGAACGTTTCGTTTGCCTTTCACCTGGATAAGTCTCTTTTCAGCGCCAGCGTTTGTAACAACATGGTTGAAGCCAGATGCGTGGCCACCACTTAAATATTGTAAGCCTGTAAAAGCAAACAAGCGAGCTTAGTTATGAAAGCATTTATTTAAATTACTGGCTTCACAGGTGCGTTGCCGGCCTTTTAAGAAGGAGTACGCTCGTTTCTTGAGGGAATACAGCCGCCGGAAGATCATTTCAAAGCTTTGCTGTGCGGGGCAGAAAGTTACGGGTGAATCGCACAGTTGTTGACTGCCAATCATCTATGTGATGGGAATGAACATGTTTTCGCGAGGAACGATGGCGAAAAGATGTGGCGGGGATCAAACCGAACAATTCCTCAAAACACTCCCCGTGATAAAGGCGATAATCGAGGATTTCTATTTACAAACCAAATTTCAACTAAATTGATCGATCCGTTTTAGCGTGAAAGAATACCAAACATACCTACATATATATAGGTACATTCTTACAAACTTTCAAATATTATCTTACTAACATTATAAATGCGAAACTTACGATGTTTGAATGTTTAGATTTTTGTTACTCAATCACGCCAAAACGGATATAAGGATCTGGATAAAATTTGGCACAGACATAGGACATACTCCAGATCCAGAATAGGCTATTTTTTTATTAACATACCACGCAAGCGAAACCGAGGGTAGAAGCTAGTTTACTCACATTAAAAAAATTACATAAATACCTATATATATGTATAGGTTTGTAATTATGAGTGATGTGAGAGAGAGAGAGAGAGGATATGTGTGTGAAAGGGAGAAAAAAAAAGATGGCGTATCGCTGGATTTGGAAAAAATATCACAATCACAATAGAATAATGCAATATAGAACCCGAATAAGACTCTACTCGATGGCTAAACGTTCAACAGCAAGCAATTATTCACTTGCTCTAATACCTCAGCGATTAGCTTCAATTATTAACTATCCACTTTAATTAGTATCCTACGTGTGTATTGGTTGATGTCATTGTTTAATAGACTGACTCTAAATATAGACACAAACAAAGGTCTTTGTTAAGAACGATCAGGAAAATAGGAACTTCCTATTAGCAAATCGAAACTGATGGAAAACAGTCCACGATGCCTTTATAATTATCGATCGTTACTAAGTTAGTGACCTAACTCACACGCCACTAACAATATACCTAAAAGGAAATAGCCCTAGAAATCAAACGTCCTCAAATGCAGAATAAAGCATTCATCAACAATTTAAAAACACTGCCATCTACCTTCAACCTATAATACTTTTACGACAGCAACTAACTCCAATACTCCGCCAAGAGATGTCGCTACGTACCTGATGGGAATAATCCTTTGAAGTCTTCACTCTCATGTCCTAAAACTTCTCTGTGTTGAATAGCAGCGCCATTAAATTTGTCATCAAGTCCAACAGTCAATATTGCTGCGGCGCCAGACTCGTCCTGTGACGATTCGCTGCCGATCCAGTAGTAAATGTTCCAAGATAAATTGTTGCGTTTGTCAGCTGTAGTCTGTTTGAATAAAAACATTAAATAATTTTTGCAAATATAAAATAAATTGAATCAAATCAAATCAAATCAAATCAAATCAAATCAAATCAAATCAAATCAAATCAAATCAAATCAAAATCATTTATTCCAACAAAACCATGAATACTTTTACTATTGGTACTTTTGAATCGTCAAAATGGAATAGTAGTCTATCAGTCTGTTCGTCAGGGAAGCTATGTGCTCGTTCCAAATTATAGTTTCGAATGGAGAAGAACGAGCAAGAGACTCCATCGTTACTCTTTTAAAAAAATATTATTTGTTTTTGTAGGAATTATTGAATAAAGCAAGTATTAACTTTAAATATTGTGTAATTTATTTCATAAGACGTAAGCGTTACAAACGTGTGTCAAAAAGTGAAAAAAAACAAAAGAATTGAGAACGCCACACAGCGGCAAAAATGCGAACTACTTATTTGATTGCGTTCCATTTCTAACATCCACCCCTGAACGCAAACCCATTTTTGCTATACAATATAAGTTTTTATGCTCAGTGGTACCCTTAGTTAGTATATCTGCAATCATATTATCGGCGGCGGTTGACAAAGCCACCGTTTGTTGTCTCCTGGAGCACCAGGACACCGCGCCTCCCTGAGAAATAAAAACATAGCCCGTGCAGGACTTTCGGTCGATATTATCGCTGGCCCAGTCTGCATCACAGAAGCCTCTAAGATTTGGTTGATCATCTTTGGTATAGGTGAGCTTCAGATCTTTAGTTCCCTGTAAATATCGTAGTACTCTTTTGACTGCTGTCCAGTGTTCTGCTCTTGGTTCTTTATTGAACCTACTGAGAGTATTGACGGCAAAGGAAATGTCAGGCCTTGTACCTTGAGCAATGTAGAGAAGACAGCCTATAGCCTGTTGATAAGGGTAGTCTACTTCCTTGTCATCAGCTCTCTGAGCAAACTTCAGGCCCACTTCTATAGGTGTTTTGCATGATTTGCAGTCAGACATACCAAACTTAGTAAGTACACTTTTAATATATTTTTCTTGGTCAATCATAATAGTGTCTCCATCCCTGGTTAAGTTCAGGCCTACACACTGACTAGCCTTACCCAGGTCCTTCATCTCGAGGTGTTGCATAAGCCAGTGTTTAATCTTGTCTCTTTCCACGTTATTTGAAGTAAATAAAATGAGGTCATCTACCCACACAGCAATGTAGGTATTCTTATCTGGATTGAAATAGACACATGGGTCAGACTTTGAACGTTTCAGTCCCATCTCCAGCAGCACAAGGTTTAATTTTGAATTCCACAACCTGCTAGCCTGTTTTAATCCATATATGGATTTATTCAAGTGACACACTTGAGGCCCTTGTTCATACAGCTCTGGTTGCTTCATGTAAATGTCAACATCAATGTCACCTTGTAAAAATGCTGATACTGCATCCAGTTGGTCAATCTCAAGCCCCAATCTTGCGGCTAGTGATATCAAGTACCTTATTGTAGTGTACTTTACAACAGGTGAGAACACTTCCTCGTAGTCAGTGCCCTTTCTCTGGGCATACCCTTTAATCACAAGCCTGGCTTTAAATCGTATTATATTACCACTTTGGTCAGTTTTAGTTTTATAGACCCACTTGCATGGCAAAACCTTTCTACCCGAAGGCAAGTCCTTTAGATTCCAGGTATTATTTTTCATCAGTGAGTTATACTCCTCGTCCATTGCTAGTTTCCACTGTTTGGCGTAAGGTGATGAAAGTGCCTCCTCAACTGTCTGCGGATCACAAAAACTTGAAAGTAAACAATACATACTGTTTTCATCTACATCTATGATATTCCTTTGAGTTCTGTTACGAGGTCTCAGCGTGATTCTCTGCTGGTTCTGTGAGTGTTTGTATCTTGGTGGAACATATGTTTCATCTGAATCTCCTGCATCCGTCTCATACTCGCTAGAATCCTGATCACAACTCTCATTCGTTACACAATCAACAGTAGTTTCTTCAACCAATGGTAAGGTGAGCTTTTCTTCTTCAGTCAAGGATATCTCTGTAGGTGCCGGAACATTACTGCTGTGACTTGCAGAGATAGAATGATTCCCTGGTGGCTGTGTCTTCATTTGTGAAGCCTGATAGTTACTAGATGAATCTGAAACATCATTAGTTACTTTCAAATTAGAACTTTTATTCTCAAAGAAGGTGACATCCCTGCTTTTTATAATTTGATATGTTTTTTCATCTAGTAAGCGATATCCTTTTGTATTGTCACAGTATCCCACTAAAATCATCCTTTTTGACTTTTTGTCCCACTTCTGCCGTTTTTCCTTTGGTACAAAGACCATAGCCTCCGAGCCAAATATTCTCAGATGGGACAAGTCTGGTTTGTATCCATTCCACATTTCAAAGGGTGTCTTACCCTGTAAAGCCTTATTAGGAGATCGGTTTAAAATATATGCTGCGGTCCCCACTGCCTCGGCCCATAGTTTCTTCTGTAGATTGGCATGGAACAGCATGCACCTAGCTTTCTCAACTAATGACCGATTCATCCGTTCAGCCAGTCCATTGTGTTGGGGGGTGTAGGGAGTGGAGGTCTGATGTACTATACCGCTGTTGGATAAGAAATTCTCAAAGTGAGTATTACAGTACTCAGTACCATTATCTGTTCTTAAAATCTTTATTTTCTGAGAACAATGGTTTTCTGCTTTGTTTTTATAGTCCTTGAAAACATCCAATACTTTGGTTTTATTTTCCATGAAGTAAACAAACACCATTCTTGTATAATCATCGATGAAAGTGATACAGTACTTCATACCTGAGCAACTCAAGTTCTCCATGGGTCCACAGAGGTCAGAGTGAACAAGTTGTAAAGGTCCTGAGGCTCGAGAACCAAGATTCTTGAATGGAAATCTAGACTGCTTGCCTTCACAGCAAGAGACACACCTTGTCACATTACTCTCAGTGTTGGAAAGAGTCACACCCCTGACACTGTTGGGTAGTCTGTTGACATCTGAAACATTCAAATGGCCCATACGCAGGTGCCATAAGTAAGTGTCACTACACTTCTCCTCACTGAAACTTAAATTTGCAGTTTCAGGATTATTCCCAGTATCCAATATATACAGTTTATTATTTAAAGTTGCTGAACATATCAGTTTTCTATGTGAATCATGAACATCACAACCTCTTTGAGTAAATGTTACTTTATAACCACTGTTAACAATTGTACTCACTGAGAGCAAATTCACGGCCAAACCAGGAACATATAAAACATTTTTTAACTGAATCTTCTTACCCTGTGCTAGTTCGATGTCAGTGTATCCAACTCCTTTTACTGACAGCGGCTCCTGGTTGGCTACTGTAATTTTCTTTACCGGTGGTTCCGTGACATTGTACAATCCCTGCCTGTTACCGGTCATATGCATGGATGCACCCGAGTCAATGAACCATTTATTACACTGAGCACCTGAAAAGGCTGAAAAAGCTGCGATAAAACCTGTATCCTTTTTTCCTTTTTCATTCACAGTTGTCTTTTTAGTGCTCGTACAAAACTTCGCGAAGTGTCCATAATTATTGCATTTGTAGCATCTTGGCCCTTTCGTCTTTGGTTGTTGTGGCCGACTATGTTGTTTCCTTGATTTTGAACCAACATACAAAGCGGTACTGGTATCTGCTGATCTAACTTCTTGTAGTAGCTTGGTCTTGATAAGATCGGCACTAATCTTCGCGCCAGAGCTCTCAAGTCCCATAATCATCGGAGCGTAGACGTCAGGCAGACCGGCCAGCATCAATGTACCCAGCCACTCGTCGTTGACTTCAAACCCTATGTTCCGTAACTTATGGGCTGTGACGTGTGTGACGTCATTATTTTGTGAATGTATGATTCTACATTACCGCTAGATTCCAGAGTACTGTTCACTAAATCTTTCAACAGCCCAACTTTTCTGGTTAATCCGTTGTCATCAAACGCTTGTTGCAGAGTCTCCCATACTTCTTTGGCTGTGCTGCAAGTTTGCACATGTATGTAATTTTGCGGATCTAACAACAATATCAATTTAGATTTCGCCTTAACATCTTTACAAGGATCTACGGGTTTGCCATCTTTGGGCTCCACACATTGCCACAAATCTTCGTGTTCGAGATAAGTTTTCACACTGAATTTCCATGTTGCGAAGTTTTCACGCCCGATCAACTTATCAAGATTGAACATGTGATGCGATGAACTCATTTTTTAAGAGTTTTTCGTAACTCGCCGGTCACTGGGACGCGTGTGTATAATCTCACTTTTTATTCCGGTACACGTACACCACTAAACACTGATAAATTCTGCACGAATATTTTGTACTGATACTTGCTAATCAACCACGCTCTGCTACCATGTAGGAATTATTGAATAAAGCAAGTATTAACTTTAAATATTGTGTAATTTATTTCATAAGACGTAAGCGTTACAAACGTGTGTCAAAAAGTGAAAAAAAAACAAAAGAATTGAGAACGCCACACAGCGGCAAAAATGCGAACTACTTATTTGATTGCGTTCCATTTCTAACAGTTTTACAATTCACTAATATGTGAGAATGTGAGAACAATGCAGAGACAAGTTGTTAATAAAAAGAAACAAATGATGGTATCTAATATTAAAATTTTCATGCTTTGTCGTCTCGAACATGGCGCTCACATATGCGTACTCAGAATCCAAAAGAACGCTTCTATATAAACTCATTCAAGGTTTCATTAATTTTGAGAATTTTAGTAACTACTGACTACATATTTGAGTATTGTCTAACTAACTTGGTTGCTTGGTTGGATTGCTTTAAGCAAAAGTGTATATTCTAGATTATGAATTCTTCAATAAATTTTATTTATTATTAGATTATTATTAAAGGTGTGAATTATGTTGGAATTATGTTAAATTTTCCCTTTCGAATTCTATTCACCCCGTTTTACATAGTAGATATTATGCTTTTGTATTGTTTTAAACTAAGTATAGCATATTTTTTTATCTTCTTTGTTAGTGAATGCTTAAAAATATTTTACCTTAGCTAATATTAGGTAAGTACAGCGTATTAGCATAAACCGTTAGCTATGTCGTATGTGTTAATCTATTTATTATTATTTATCTAATTCTAAACTTTATTGTTTTTTTTTCTTGTCTTTTATGAAATTAAGTAATTTAATATTATTTTATAAGCTAGTAATAGCCCTCTTTGCAACGCCTGAAAAAGGCCGTTAAGCTGTGCCTGTTATTTTAATTTAAGATCCTTGTACCCACCTTAACATGCAAATAAAGAATTTGGAATTGAATTTGAATTTCGTGTCACGTGTTTGTCCGCGATGGACTCCTAAACTACTAAACCGATTTTAAATTTGTTTTGCATTCCGTGTGCATTTTGATCCAACTTGAAAGATAGGATAGCTTACATCTGAATTTATAGTCACAATATTATTTACCTTAGTCACAGCAACGCGTGGCTGGGTCTACTAGTTTGTATATGAATTAGCAAGCTAGATGACGATTTTAATAGATTGTATAAAAATTATTAAGATCCGTCAGATCGCTTGTCGACATATCACGTAAAAAAAATGATCTTACCCTCAAGGCAATGTAGGAATCGCCTTTGTAGAATTTGCCGAAATCAGCTGCTGAAACTGCAACGGGCTCGAAGTCCTGAAAATTTTCAAGTTTTTTCGTCATTTCTTTTAAAATAGTAACTCTATGACTGTTACTTAAGGTTTAATATCGTCTAAGGTATCTGAAAAATGCAAATATCTATTACTTTTAGATAATTTTAGTTTAGCTACTTATACATTAAAAAAAAGCAATTTGGTTCCGCCACTCGACAACAGATGGCGTTAAACGCCACGATGAATTAAAACTCACTTGAATTCTCCAAACTTCGACGCCGGCTACACGGCCTGCATTGGCGAAAGCTGGATGTACCCTCGCCTTGCTTCTAGCGTCCTGTTAGAAAAAAAAAAGAATAATATTAAGAATTTAAATTTCGAATGAGTGTAAAAGAGCCAAGCTTTGGCACGAATAGGTCCGCTCGACAAGAATGATACCACGGCCTCACAGTAAACCGGCGTGAAATAACTACAGCGTTGTGTTCCGCCGTGTGAGTGAGGTTACTGGAGGCCCATTTCTTCCCCTCCCCTTATGCCAAAATCTCGAAATCTCCAAAAGGTCGGCAACGCACTCGTAACTCCTCCATTGTCGGTTGCTTACCATCAGCTAATCCGTTTGTTCGTTTGCCGACCTATCACATAAAAAAACAACATTGTAAAAAGCATCGCGTAATATCAATAGAAACAAACAATAACCATCATTAAAGCTGATTTTTCAATAGTCAGGTAAAAGTTACCTGGGAAATAATTATGTTGCTGTCGCGTCACAATATTTGTATAAGACAGTGACAGCAACAATTTTATTCCTCAGATAACATTTATCTGACTATTGAAAAATCAGCCCTTGAACCAAAATACTTATAACTTGGACCAATGATATTATACTATACCGATATTAACAGATATGTTATAAGCTCGCATATCTAAAACTTAGTGTATCGATCGATCGATGAATAAAAGTATAGTTATTTTTCAATGTTTTATTGTATTAAAACGTCGAATTAATTTATTTTTGACCTAGGAAACTACCCAATTAATGAAAGGTATGTGAGTGTGGTCACGCTTGGCGCGGAACACATTTTTCGTGCTTTTTGTGAGGGTACCTATAACATATCTGTGTTAATATAATATCATTGACTTCGACCAACCCTAGCATTACACAAAAGACCTTGAGTCTGACATTAATGATACTAATAAAAAGGGAAGATAACTACGAGGCGTGACGTCATCGAGGGGCATTGACCTTGATTTTCGAATCAGATCATGGCCAACTGGAATAGATTTATAAACGACTAGACAAGAGCAAAGATAATGTAATTGGAGTTCTGTTTGCTATACATACATCACGGAATAGTATAAAACACGGGCGCTTTCTCTGTCCCTATATTTTTTTATGGGATGATAGGTGGGCAAATATGGGATGGTAGGTGTCGTGGTGGCCCGGAGGTTAAGGAGCCCGCTTCTCACACATGAGGGTGTGTGTTCGAAACCTGGCAAGTACCAATGTAACTTTTTCCGAGTTATATGTACTTTCTAGGATTATTTAGACACCACTGACATACGGTGAAGGTAAACATCGTGAGGAAACCTGGACTTATAATTTCTAATTATAAGTTTGAAATCGCCAACCCGCATTGAGCTAGCGTGGTGATTAATGCTCTAACCTTCTCCGTATGAGAAGAGGCCTTTGCTCAGCAGTGGGCATTTATAGGCTGATGATGAGGTGGGCAAATGAGCTGCCGGATTATATATAATGGTAAATTATTGGCGCCGCCCATGGACACCCACATCACCAAAGGAGTTACGAGAGCGTTGCCGGCCTTTTATGGATAAGGGTTTCGGATATTTAAGGATTGGAAAGGGATGAGGGAGTGGTAACCTCACTCACACGGCGAAACAACGATGTGTTAATTTCACGCTGGTTTTCTGTGAGGCCATGATATCACTGCGGTCGAGCCGACCCATTCGTGCCGAAGCTTGGCTCTCCCACATATCCCTATATATGTTTATATCTTTAAAACTACGCAACGGATTTTGATGCGATTTTGTGTAACAGATAAAGTGATTAAAGAGGAAGGTTTTTGAATAATAAAATCGATTACACTACGAAACAACTCTTTGTGTGATCCACAAATTGTTGTTCCGGGTCTGGGTGTCATGTGTATGTGAAATTGTATGTTTGTAACCGCACCCACAACACAGGAGAAAACCCTAGTGTGGGGCAACGTTTTTTTAAAAAAGAAAAAAAGAAGAAAGAAGAAGAAAGATAAAATAGTCGAGAGATTTAGTATCAGCATTGCAAATTGTCGGCAGGTTAAAAATGCTTAACCCTATAATAAGCAAAAAACTTCCAAGTAAACTAAGTGTGTAACATTCCTATCATTCCTAACCTTGAAGATCTGAACCGATTTCCACCAAACATAGCTAAAAACAATCTCGACTTATCTGCCTTCCAAACAAAAAAAAACGCATTAAAATCGGATCACCCGTTTGAGAGATACGACGCCACAGATAGACACGTCAAACTTATAAAACCGCGTCGTCTTTCCGTCGGAGGTTAAAAAAAATACCAAATAACTTTTTAAATTGTATAAGAAAATTATAATACACATCTTTCTTTTAACATCGACTGTATAAAGTACGAAGTTTATAAATAAAAATATTTCGCGTTACGCGCCACGATTACCTACATTACATCAAAGACAGATGACAGACATGTTTACCAAACAAACAGACACATTTATTAGCTTCCAGTTAGTTTATTAATCTTATTTATATTGTTACGTGCCTGACGTCACGTTCCTGAATATGCGGGCTTGGGTTACGGGATTGGATGAAATGAAACACTAATCCCGGTTTTCAGACTTTCTATTGCACTTAAGTTACAGCATCCACGGAGTTAAGTTATCGGCGTTCTTCTGCAGCAGAGTCCGGCCGACTGACACAACTTTGCCGTTCACGCTGATTTAACTCACTTAACTGACTGCACTTCACTATTTCACTGCACTTCACTATTTCACTCACTTTTCTTCTTTTCCACTTCTTCCTTTTCTTCCGAATCGCTTTAGACTTAGAACTCAACTGCCAGCGGTGAGCCGCAGTTCCGCTTATATACCCCCGGTCAGGTTCTAGAACATTCAATTTCGTTATTCTTTTTGATCGTCATGCCTCCAGAACCTTCCAATAATTTCGTTATTCATTTTTATTTATTCTCCTTCTCGCTCCTTAATTTTTCATTTCTTTCACTCAAATAATTCCAGAAAGTTCGACAAAACTTCCATCAACTAAAAAACTTCATGTTTACGGCGGGACTCGAACTCGGGGTCTCTGTGGTGTAATCCACACGCCTTACCGATTACACCAACTCGTGTTGACAATTCACGACGAAATTTACAATCTCTAGGCAACGTTTGACAACCATCCCTTGACGTCATGATGTCAAAGAGTTTTCCGTCACACTGCCCCACTCTTAGATTCGCTCGTCCCGAGCATCGTTGCTGCCGTAATACCTCGCCAACCTGTCTATATGGACAACTTTCAAAGGGCTCCTTGAAGTCTTCCGAATTCTGTAAGTAATGTCATTGATCTTCGTGACTATCTCATAAGGACCTTCCCAACTCGGTTGCAGCTTCGGAGATTTTCCCTTCCTTCTGACTGGATTATGAAGCCAGACCAATGACCCTTCTTCAAACCCAACAGAATTGGCTCGTCGATCATAGCGCGTCTTTGCGCGATCACTAGCTTGAAGACCGGCCTCCCTGATCTGCTCATAAATGTCCAACATTTTTGCCCTTAACTCGCTTATGTAATCGCTAAATTCGGTGCGAGAGTCGCCAGGTGGACAGCCCGATACAAGATCTGCCGGTAATCTCAATTCCCTTCCAAAATTTGCAAATGCAGGCGTCTTTGCGGTACTTTCATGTACAGCAGTCCGATAGGCAAGCAAGAAGAGAGGTATGTAAGTGTCCCAATCTCTCTGATGGCTGTCAACCACCTTTGCTAAGTGTCGTTCCAATGTTTGGTTGAAACGTTCGACCATTCCATCTGACTGTGGATGATAAGGAGTCGTTCGAGTCTTATGGATTCCCAAAAGTTTACAAGTTTCCTGAAAAACTTGGGACTCAAAGTTCCGTCCTTGATCACTGTGCATCTCCAAGGGCACTCCGAATCGGGTGAATACCTCGTTTACCAACTTCGTGGCTACAGTTACTGCCTCTTGATTCGGTATGGCAAAGACCTCCGGCCATTTTGTAAAATAATCCATAACCACTAAAACGTAGCGATTGCCCGAATCAGTGATTGGAAATGGTCCAGCGATGTCTAAGGCTATTCTCTCCCAAGGCATACCAACATCGTAGATTTTCATCGCCCCTCTGCTTCTTGTTTGTGGACCCTTGACAGCTGCACAACTAGTGCATTTCCGGCACCAATCTTCGACGTCATATTTGCAATGCAACCAATAAAACCTCTCCTTGATCTTCACCAAAGTCCTCCTAATTCCCAAATGTCCTCCAGAAGATCCATCATGGAACGCTTTTAATACATCCCTTATTTTTGAACGAGGCACCACCAATTGCAAATGCTCGTCCTTGCCGTTTGTTGATTCCCATTTCCTGCACAGAAGTCCGTTATGCAGCGTAAGGCTTTTCCACTGTGCCCATAAACCTTTCGTTACCGCGCTATATTGGGCGACGTCACTCCAACTTGGCTTGTTACCACTTCGTAGCCACTCCAGTATTGGTTTGATATCCGCATCTTTTTCCTGTTCTAATTTCATCGCATCATCTCCCCATGCCTCGTCAACAGTATCAGTCCTTATCACCTTAAGAAAAGCAATTTCCTTCTTGGCACAATGCTTGCAATCTTCCACGCATGGGCGTCTCGATAATGCATCTGCGTTGCCATGAATTCTTCCGCCGCGATGTTCGATTTCAAAGTCAAATTCCTGAAGTTGTTCCAACCATCTGGCTACTTGGCCTTCAGGATCCTTAAACTGAAGCAGCCATTTCAAAGCAGCGTGATCAGTTCTGATTAAAAATTTCCGTCCCAGTAAATACTTCTTGAAATGGTGCAGAGTTTTGACTACGGCCAGTAATTCCCTCCTGGTCACGCAATAATTCCTCTCCGGCTTGGATAGTGACTTGCTGAAGTAAGCAATAACCTTCTCCTGCTCACCATCGCGTTGTGAAAGGACACCTCCTATTCCGATATTACTGGCGTCCGTGTCAACTACGAATATTCCTTTCGCGCTGGGGTATCCGAGAATTGGCGTTTTACAAAGCCGTTCTTTTAGTTCGCGAAAGGCTTGCTCACAATCCTCGTCCCATATAAAGGCACGTTTCTCCTCTGTCAATCGATGCAATGGCTTGGCAATGTCCGAGAATCCTTTCACAAACCGCCGATAATACGAGCATAATCCAAGAAATGCCCGAACTTGCGTTTTGTCTTTAGGTGTTGGCCATTCCTTAACAGCGGCAGTCTTGGCTGGATCAGTCTCAATTCCTCTCTCAGAAATAACATGTCCTAGATAATTCACTTCGCGCTTAAAGAAAGAGCATTTCTTTGGACTCAACTTTAAATTTGCTCCACGCAGCTTTTCGAGTACCCTTTCCAATTTTCTTAGATGATCGTCAAAATCCCGTCCAACGATGATGATGTCATCGAGGTAAACTAGGCAGGTTTCGCCCAGCAGTCCCGCCAGCACCTGTTCCATCAAACGCTCAAAGGTTGCCGGTGCATTGCATAATCCAAATGGCATCACCTTAAATTGCCAGAGTCCCTTCCCAGTTGAGAATGCGGTCTTTTCCTTGTCCTTGGGATCCAAATCCACCTGCCAATAGCCGCTTTTCAGATCGAGCGTTGAAAACCATTTCATGCCACTCAGTGTGTCAAGTGTGTCATCGATTCTTGGTAACGGGTAGCTATCCTTCTTGGTTACATCATTCAATCGTCGATAGTCTACGCAAAACCTCGTTGAACCATCTTTCTTCTTGACAAGCACGACAGGTGAACACCAAGGGCTAGAAGAGGGCTCTATCACGTCATTTTTCCTCATATCGTCAATCATTTGTTCAACCTCTTTCTCACGAGCGAATGGTATACGTCTGGGCCTTTGACGAATTGGCATTGTATCACCTGTATTTATTTTATGCTTCACCAAACCAGTTCGGCCAATATCACCATCGCTTCTTGAAAACACATCAGAGAATCGAAGGAGTAAATTTCTAGCTTTCATAGTCTCCACTTTTGTCAGACTTTTGTTTTCGTCTAAGATTTTCGTTACAAAGTCTATTCCCGTACTGTCCTTCTTCACAAGATTCTCCGAGCATTTTCTTATCCAGGCCACTTCTTCCAAAACGCCCACAGGCTCTCCTTCTTCAATCGTAATTTTTGAATCACTGAAGTTGAATACCGGAATGCGGTTGACATCAGATGACCCCACGACAGTCCTTGCCGGTAGCCATGAGTTTACGTGTTCCGATTTATCAATCACAGCGCACCTTCGAGGTAAACTTCCTCCACTCCTCCTAGGTAATGCGATTGGTACGAGAGTCTGTGATTTTGGTTCAAGAACAGTTCTTTTTAAACAGCAAACTTTTCCCAGGGTTCCACCCTTCATCGGAATTTCCTCAGTTCCACATAGTAATACTCCAGATTTTAAGTCGATGTTACACTGGTGCCCTTGCAGGAAGTCAAGTCCCAGGATGCAGTCATCCAGAATTTTGGCCACAATAACCTCATGTCGATAAACACGTTCCCCAATTTTGATTGTTACGTGCAGTTTTCCACTTATCGGTATCCACTGGCCGGTAGCTGATTTCATTCGTAGGCCAACAATTGGTTTAACGTGTTTCCTGATGTTTTGCCCGAGCAGCCGAACATTTATCACCGTCCTTGAAGCTCCAGTATCTAATGTTAGCTGACTGTTTTTCCCATTTACTTGACCGTCTATCACCAGAGTATTTCCATCGTTAGTTTGCTTGATGTAGATTGTTGGGGTTATTCCACTATCGGCCAGCGCCCACCCCGCAGCCCTGGCTGGAATTAGTTTCCCTGCTGGTCAGAAGTTGAGACCACCGCGTCCTGGCGGTTCACCTTCTTCGGGCAGTTGCTCCGCATGTGCCCACGCTCTCCGCATCCATAGCACATGAAGTTCCGACGGCGTGGAGGTACCTGCTCCGTAGTCGTCATTTCCCGCAGACATAAGGTACGGGAGTTACCACGCACAGCTTCCACTTCCAATGCATGGGCCAGAGCTTCTTTCATGTTCTTGTGATGGCCCAGATGAACAGCAGCTCGTACTTCGGGGTCCCGAATACCGTCAATGAACGCTTGGAGAAGCGTGCCTTCAATCATTGACGGAGTCGACCGGAAAGCTCGACGCACAAGTTTCTCGATTTCCACGGACCATTGCTGTAGGCTCTCATTAGCACGCTGAGTACGCTCTTTTAATTGCGCTCTGTACACGTGCTCGAGGTGGCTGTCTCCAAAACGTGCCTCAAGTGCGTCGAGGAGGGCACTTAAGCTAAGATCCCCACTTGCGCCGATAGCTTCCAGCACTGAGAGCGCTTGATCACGGAGGGCCAGGGTGAGGGCTGACTGTGCTTCCTTCTGAGTCCAACCATAAGCCTCCATAAGTGTCTCAAACTGTAGCTTGAACGCGTTCCAGGATGTTGTTCCGTCGTAATGGGGAATCTTGAGCCCTTTCGTTGCGCTTGAGGCCACATTTGGGGCGTCAAAAACGGCTGCAAGACGGCTTCGGCTCTTCAAAGGGCTTGGGCTTGTCACTTCCTGCTTGATTTTGGAGATCTCTTCTTTCACTCTCTCCTCTATCGCCATGACGCGATGTTCCAACTTGCCTAACCCTTCCTCCACTTCTTGTACCCGTTCGACAGCCTTTTGCAGTCCCTTCGTGAAATCCTTATGCATCTCTTCCAAGCGACGCGCTTGCTCCTCTTGGCGGCGAGCTTGATCCTCTTGGCGACGAGCTTGATCTTCTTTCAGCTCCCGTAGCTGTTCCGCCTGACAGCGTGCTTGCTCTTCTTGGCGGCGCGCTTGCTCTTCTTGGCGGCGCGCTTGCTCTTCTTGGCGGCGCGCTTGCTCTTCTTGGCGGCGCGCTTGCTCTTCTTTCAGCTCCCGCAGCTGTTCTGCCTGACAGCGCGCTTGCTCTTCTTGGCGGCGCGCTTGCTCTTCTTGGCGGCGCGCTTGCTCTTCTTGGCGGCGCGCTTGCTCTGCCATCATTTGCTGCAGCTGTAGCAGAAGATCCACCTGCACAGGCTTGGCTTCTGCATCGCTGGTTTGAGCTGCAGCACCCTCTTCCCTCACACGCTGCGCTTCTGACATTGCACGGGTACTCACTCCTCTTACGTCCTGCGGCACTAGCGGCATTTTTCTCCAATCCCACTTCTGACACCAAATGTTACGTGCCTGACGTCACGTTCCTGAATATGCGGGCTTGGGTTACGGGATTGGATGAAATGAAACACTAATCCCGGTTTTCAGACTTTCTATTGCACTTAAGTTACAGCATCCACGGAGTTAAGTTATCGGCGTTCTTCTGCAGCAGAGTCCGGCCGACTGACACAACTTTGCCGTTCACGCTGATTTAACTCACTTAACTGACTGCACTTCACTATTTCACTGCACTTCACTATTTCACTCACTTTTCTTCTTTTCCACTTCTTCCTTTTCTTCCGAATCGCTTTAGACTTAGAACTCAACTGCCAGCGGTGAGCCGCAGTTCCGCTTATATACCCCCGGTCAGGTTCTAGAACATTCAATTTCGTTATTCTTTTTGATCGTCATGCCTCCAGAACCTTCCAATAATTTCGTTATTCATTTTTATTTATTCTCCTTCTCGCTCCTTAATTTTTCATTTCTTTCACTCAAATAATTCCAGAAAGTTCGACAAAACTTCCATCAACTAAAAAACTTCATGTTTACGGCGGGACTCGAACTCGGGGTCTCTGTGGTGTAATCCACACGCCTTACCGATTACACCAACTCGTGTTGACAATTCACGACGAAATTTACAATCTCTAGGCAACGTTTGACAACCATCCCTTGACGTCATGATGTCAAAGAGTTTTCCGTCACAATATATACATCTGTAGGTAAACTAGTTTCTCATTTGTATGTAGTTAAAATTTTGTTTTTTATTTTTAGTTTTTTTATGGTATAAGTCGGCAGACAAGCAAACTGATTACCTGATGGTAAGGAATCAGCGCCCTCCGCAACACCAAAGGAGTTACGAGTGCGATGCCGGCCTTTTAGGGATACTTAAGGATTTGGAAGGGATGGGGGAGGGGAACGGACTGGGCCTCCGATGACCTCAATTACACGGCGAAACAAACGCTGTGGTTGTTCCACGCCGGTTTTCAGTGAAGCCGTGGTATCATTCTGGTCGAGCCGACCCATTCGACCCATTAGGGATTTAAAAATGAGTTGCAATTTAGAGTGAGGGGGAGAGGATCGAGCCCCCTTAAGACAAGAGATCCTTAATCCCCACACCTGGCTAACCGGTTGGGGATTAATGAAAAGGAACTTGGTACCTAAGCACAACTGATAGTCCACAAAACCTGTTGTTCTTCTATTGTGTATCTATCAAGATTAATCCCCACATCTGGCTAACAGGTTGGTGATTAATGAAAATGAACTGAGTATGCACAGGTAAAAGTCAACAATTTTAAAAACCAACCTTGTCGCTGAGAGAGGTGATGTGTGCTGTCACCGGTTGCTGTCTGGTTGCACTCCTGGGGATAGCCGACACTGCTGCGACAGTCAGGAGTATTACGCCAAGGAGCTTCATGCTGTAATAAAAAAACAACTGTCATTCATCATCATCATCAGGTTATAAGTGTCCACTGCTGAGCAAAGGCCTCTTCTCACACGGAGAAGATTTGAGCATTCATCTATACTTACATAATAAAGGGGTAAAATTTGTAAGTTTGTAAGTTTGTATGTTTGTAAGTTTGTAAGTTTGTATGTTTGTGAGTTTGTAAGTTTGTAAGTTTGTATGAAGGGAGTTATCTTTGGAATCGCTGGTTGGATTTCCAAAATTCTTTTACTGATAGTTACAACGTTCCCGAGTGTTATAGGCTATAAAACATCACGCTACGATTAAAAGGAGCCGAGCAGCGGGTGAAACCGCGCAAGACTAGCTAGTCATAAATAAAAGAGACGGAACCTCTGAGTTTGTATCGGCATTATTTCTCAGAATAGTCAGATAGGAAATGCTGGCTTCATCTAAATCAAATCAAATCAGTCTTTAGCCTCGCTGTGGGTGGAGCGAGACGTGTCGGACTCTTACTGACTAAAAACCTCCCCGTTCCATCTCTTGCTTTAGGCCGAGGCTGCGGTGCCTCATTGTGGAAGTAATGAATCCATTTTTCATGTTATTTGATCGACAAACGAGCGGTTAGATTACCTGATGGTAAGCTCAATACCGCCCATGGAAACTCTTAATACTAAAGGAGTTAAGTACTACAAGTGCGTTAGTGACTCTTTAGTGCTATTAGGGATTTAAGGATTGTCAAAGTCAAAGTCAAAACCAAAGTCAAAGCCAAAGTCAAAGTCAAAGTCAAAACCAAAGTCAAAGCCAAAGTCAAAGTCAAAGTCAAAGTCAAAGTCAAAGTCAAAATCAAAAATTGAAATAAATTCAACTATACCATAATTAAATAGGTACTTTTGAAACGTCAAAATAGAAAAGTAGCCTGTCAGTCTGTTCGTCAATGAACCTAGGTGCTCGTTCCAAATTGTAGATTCAATTGGAAAAGAACACGCAACAAACTTCATATGTAGTTACTCTTTAAAAAAAATGATTTACAATTTCACTAATATAACATTTAGTATACATTATTGTACCCTTATGTGAGAACAATGCAGAGACAAGTTGTTAAAAAAAAGAAAAACCGATAGGATCTATCATAAAATTTTAATCCTTTGTCGTCTCGAACATGGCGCTCACATTGCGTCACAATCTTTAAGAGTGCTTCTATATAAACTCTTTGGATATCTAAATTAAGGATTCATTTGACTGAGGACTTGAGGATTTAATTGGAGATGGGGGGATCTCACTCACTCACACGGCGAAAACCAACGTAAGTGTTGTTTAAAGTCCGTTTTCATAGTTCTAAACACAAGAAAATAATATCATAGGTATCCAAGTATGTAGCAATCCTTAGGTAGTAAGGACTTATTTCCTCATAGCACAGTAAGTCATAAACGTTCAAGGTCGGTTGACTGAGTCATTTATATGGTTAGGTTTCCTTGTATAAGTACATATATTATACAGTATGTTGCAGACAAAACTCTGAAGCTGTTAATCTTAGGTTTGACTAGTAGAATTCGTTTTAATTCTTAAACGAACGAACTTTTTATAAACATACTAGCGGCCCACCCCCGCTTCGCACGGGTCCAACTATCTCGCTAACAATGAAAGGATCCCTTTTCCCCAATTTCCCCTCCATTTTTGTAATATTTTCTTTCATAAGAACCTTGTCCTGACAATGATAAATACAAAACAAAAGGATTTGGCAAAATTGGTATAGCCGTTTTTGAGTTATTCGCTTACCAACACATTTTGCGATTTATTTTTACACTTATTATAGATTATTCATTCATTATTTTTATAATTCCTTAATTTATTTATTTAGTTAGTTAGTTATTCATTTGTTTATTTTTTTCAAACTTATTCTATCTTAACAGGGTTTATTCTAATACGACAGATAAACTTTATAACATAAAATAAAAAAAGGAATGAAAAGAAAAAAAGGAATAAATATTACCTTTTACTTCAAAGATTAATAATGTCACTTATGTTTTGGTGGAATTATGAAACTAGCTACTCTCGCGCGGTTTCACCCGATACTCAGCTCCATTTAATCGTAGCGTGATGGTTTTTAGCCTATAGCACTCAGGAACATTGTATCTATTTATCAGTGAAAGAATTTTGGAAATCCGACCAGCGGTTCCAAAGATTACCCCCTACATAAAAACTTACAAATTTTACCTATTTATAATATTAGTATAGACTTATTCCACTTCACAATCTATCTCTGCGCCAAATTAAATTCAGATCTATTCAGTCAGTAGTTATCACGTGAAAATATAAGAAACAACCGTCCGTACTTACAAAATTTTTGCATCTACATACAATACTAGCTTATGCACGCAGCATCGCCTGCGTATGTTGATAAAAAGCAGCATATGTTTTAATCCAGGGTATCTACCTATCTTCAACTGGGGTTATGGGGTAATTAGCGCAGTAAGGTAACGCAGCCTTGGTGTAAAGGAGGTGTTTAATTTTTTTCTTTATGTATTTTCGACAAATGGGCAGACGGATTACCTGATGGTAAGCAATCAGCAATGCCCATGGACACCCACAACGGAGTAGTTACGAGTGCGTTGCCGACTTTTTAGGGATTTGGTGATTTGGGGATTGAGGAGGGATTGGGGGCGGGGAAGGATTGGGCCTCCGGTAACCTCACTCACACGGCGAAACACAACGCTGTGGTTGTTTCACGGCGGTATTCTTTGAGGCCGTGGTATCGCTCCGGTCGAGCCGACCCATTCGTGCCGAAGCATGGCTCTCCCACACTTACATTGCCGCCGCCAGGTCATAGGCTAGTCTTTTTATCAATATACCACGCGGACAAAGCCGCATGCGGAAGCTAGTTTATAATACTTGTGGATTAGTAAAATTTACAGGCCAAGTTGGCCGCATTGATTTTCAATTTTCTTCGTTTCAGTTAGGTAGTTAAAAGTAATTTTGTCTAGTTAAGATTTCTGACTACAACATATTATTTTGACATTCGTATTTGTTTGAACCGTGAGTAAGTTGCTATTCCATTGTCTTTAAGTTCAGGGAAATCTTGCGTGAGAACTCAATCTGTTCTACTTTATAAACTTTATATAATAAAAATATGATGATAATCTTGTTTTCAACTACGAAATAACAATACAATGTCGTGGTATCATGGCACGAGCTTTTTTTAATTCGATATGACGGGATACGAACAGACGGATTATCTGATGGTGAGCAATCGGCGCCGCCCTTACCATGAGTTACGAGTGCGTTGCTGCATTTTAGAGAATATTTATCGATTGGGAAAAAAAATGTCGTGGTGGCCCGGAGGTTAAGGAGCCCGCTTCTCATGCATGAGGGTGTGGGTTCGAAACCTGGCAAGTACCAATGTGACTTTTTCCGAGTTATATGTACTTTCTACGATTATTTAGACACCACTGACATACGGTGAAGGTAAACATCGTGAGGAAACCTGGACTTATAATTTCTAATTGTATGTTTGAAATCGCCAACCCGCATTGAGCAAGCGTGGTGATTAATGCTCAAACCTTCTCCGTGTGAGAAGAGGCCTTTGCAGCAGTGGGCACTTATAGGCTGATGATGATGATATCGATCGGGAAGGGATGTGGGAGTAATTGGGCCTCCGATAACCTCACTCACACGGCGAAACACAACGCTGTGGTTGTTGCACGCCGGTTTTCCGTGAGGCCGTGGTATCATTCCGGGCCGACCCAAGACTTTTGCGCGCATCTCAGGAATCAGACCTTTCCAAAGTAGCTTAGGTTAGTTTACCATTTCGGATCACCAGGATCAGCTCTTCAGGGCTACCTGAAGAAGTATAGACACCGTAGTCGAAGACTAGGAACCCGGGAGTCAGAGATCGCACAATGATTTCTGGCCACCGTGAATGTGAGAGAGCTATGATTCGGCACGAATGGGCCCGCTCGACAGGAGTAATACCACGGCCTCACAGAAAACCGCCGTGAAACAATTACAGCGTTGTGTTTCTCTGTGTGAGTGTGGTTACCGGAGGCCCAATCCTTACCCTACCCCAATCCCTAAATCCTTAGACCCTAATCCCCAAAAGGTCAGCAACGCACTCGTAACTCTTCCATGGTTGCGGGTGTCCATCGGCGACGCTGATTGCTTACCATCAGGTAATCCGTCTGCTCGTTAGCCGTGTAAGGTAGGTCTTTTTTTGTGAGGGAAAAATCATCAAATGACTTCTCCCGCCCAGGGCCGGGCGGGAGGGAGTGTCAGACTCTTACTGTCTAAAAACCCCCCTGTTCCTTCTCCTGCTCTGGGCCGAGGTCGCGGTCCCTCATTGCGCTTACCCCGCAACCCCAGCTGAACATCAGCCCTATAGGGCCCCGTCTGTGGTGGTCTATTGGCTCTTTGAGGCGCGCGCGGAACGCTACGCGCCGTACGCTCGGGCCTGGTTCTGGTCGGGCGGCGAGCTACCCTTACTCGCTCGTGTAAGGTAGGTCTGCGGTTTTATATGTAGTCTGATTTTTTAAGAAAGGAAACATATTATTGTTGTTGTGATAATGATTGTTATTCAGTTAGTTAAATAACATTCGTAGATCGCAGTTATTAATACGTTTAGTTAACAAATAACTGATTAATCTGTTTGTTTAGTATTTATGTTAACCCCTGACTTTAAATGAGATAACATACACTAACTATAGTCATTTGTAACTTTAACTGTACGTTTTTAACTATTTTATATACATAAATTTTAACTAGAATCTATTATTTCATCATTAGCACTATTTCACTGTGTCGTGGTGCTCCAGAGGTCAAGGTATCCGCTTAACATGCATGAGGGTTCAAAACCTGGCAAGTACCAATGTAACTTCTTCCAAGGTAAGTTATTTAGACACCACTGACATACGGTGAAAGAAAACATCGTGAGGAATTATTTATTTCTAACTAGCGGTTTCACTCGCTGCTCAGCTCCTACAAATCGTAGCGTTATGTTTTATAGTCTATAGCCTTCCTCGATAAACGGACTAACAAACACAAAAAGAATTGTTAAATTCGAACCAGTAGTTTTGGAGATTAGCGCGTTCAAACTACTACGGGTTTTAAGTCAAAAATGTAACTGAAAAATAAAATGGTAAATAGTACCCTACGTACCACATAAACGCTTTTAAATATACATAAATAAATAAATAAATTTATTGAAGAACACATAATCTAGAATATACAGTTTTGCTTAAAGCTATACCAAGTTCATAATATTGGGTGCCTGAACTAGGACAACCTGTGTTTCAGGCGAAAATGGGTAAAAAGATATTATACATAGTTAAATAATCATAAGTACATAATTGTTTTTAATTTTAGGAAATAATGCTACTATTTATATTAAAAATAACAGGATAAAACGATACTTAAACTCTATGTCAATGTTTACCTAAATAAAAATTAAAACAAAAATAAAAATAAAAACCTTTACTAAGTAGTTATTTAGGAACTAATAATAACGTCTCTGTGTCTTCATAGGATATAAATGGATAAAAAATATACAGATTATTTTTATCACTCATTTACATAATCGTTACGTTCATATAACTATTAAGAAAGTTTAGTATGCTAAGATTAATATACTAATCAAAATACATATATACCCACGAACAATTCTTTTATTACTTAATATGATAAATGTAAAGTTTGTATGCATATGGATGCATGCATGTTATTATTTCACGCAAAAAATGGTGGACCGATTTGGTTCGAATTTGGAATGTACATAGTTGATAATCTACCCTTTTTTCTTGTCAGGGGAAAATCATCCAATGACTTCTCCCGCCCAGGGTAAGGCGAGAGAGAGTGTCAGACTCTTACTGACTAAAAACCCCTCTGTTCCTTCTCCTGCTCTGGGCCGAGATCGCGGTGCCTCATTAAGCTTACCCCGCTACCCCGGCTAAAGGTGATCATCCACCCTGGATTAACACATAGGCTAGTAATTTTTTTTTTGTCTGAATCTTGGAAACCGCTCCTCATTTTTTATTATCTACTTTTTTATGGACCCCCCACGCGACGAATTTTTGCGTTTAAATAAATTTTTAAACGGAACTCAGTTTTTTTGTCAGGTGTTTTTTTAATTTTTATTTCAAGTATACTTTTTATAGATATTTTATGTCATTTTATATTTTGCTAAGAGCACTCGAGAGACCTCACTCGAGTATATTTGTAGACCTTCGGTTACCCTTCCCCACTTACACCCATGGGGGTGTAAATTGTAAACGGCTCAACCGATTTTCATCAAACAAGTCTAAGTAACTCGCACGTAAGTCACTACTTATACAAAAAAAAATTGTAATAGCTTGATCCGTTCAGGCTCGAGGATGCCACAGCATACAGACTTAATATCACCCCTTTTTTCCGTCGCGTCGTGGGTTAAAAATATATCGAACTAAGCTCGGTCATCTAGTTAGTTAAGAAATAATTATTAACAAAACAACAGTTATGTAAATATTTCCTTGTTTAACCTTCTTTTCAGTCGGGGCTGGTCTGAGCAGGAGAAAGAACGGGGGGGTTTTGGTCAGTAAGAGTCTTTTTTATGTGATAGGACGGCAGACGAGCGGACGGATTACCTGATGGTAAGCAATCGGCGTCGTCCATGGACACCCGCAACAAAGAAGGAGTTACAAGTGCGTTGCCGACCTTTTAAGGATTGGGATTTTGGGGATTTAGAGATTGGGTAGGTGAAGGATTGGGCCTCCGGTAACCTCACTCTCAAGGCGAAACACAACGTTGTGGTTGTTTCACGCCGGTTTTCTGTGAGGCCGTGGTATCACTCCGGTCGAGCTGACCCATTCGTGCCGAAGCATGGCTCTCCCACACTTAGTCTGTCACTCAGTCCCTTGATAATTTACCTACACTACCTACCTAGGTACATTATTCTAAAATCTTACTTCTTATCGTACTAAGATTATAAATGCGAAAGCCATGATGTTTGGATGTTTGTTACTCAATCACGCCAAAACATCTGGACGGATCTGGATAAAATTTGGCACAGGCATAGGATACACTTCGGAACAGGACATAGGCATAGATACGCAATTTACTTTTTATCAACATACCACGCAGTCGAAGCAACGTGTGGGAGCTAGTTTATAATATGCCTAGGTATACCTAGCTATTCCTGTTTTTACTCGCTGCTCGGCTCGTAATGGGCATTCATAATGATTTTTAGCTTTTAGCGTTCTTATCATAAATCAATAAATGGAATATGCAATTGCTTTGAGCAACGATAATAGTTAATCATGGAGTTATAATGTACTTTCTATGATTATTTAGACATCACTGACATACGGTGAAGGAAAATATCGTGAGGAAACCTGGACATTTGTAATTATAAGTTTGAAATCGCCAATCCGCCTTGAGCAAACGTGGTGATTACTGCTCAAACCTTCTCCGTGTGAGAAGAGACTTTTGCTCAACAATCCTATATTATGAGTGCCCACTCATAATATAGGCTGATGATGATGTTGATGATTTATTTAAGTACTTAATATGGTGATATTTTACAAGTAAACTAGATTAGTTTGATAATTTGTAGGTATCTGTCTACTCTGATAAATCTAACATAAAAAAATCAGAGGTCATATACTCTTTTGAAGTTCAGACAGTTAAATACTTAAATTACCTAAGAAAATCGAATGAGACAACAATATCTAGTATTTACTAACAAATGACCATAAATATAAAGAAACACAAAAAAAAAATAATTAAGTATAAATATAAAAAGCAATAAAAAATTTAATAAAAACTACTTACGTTTAGTTTTAAAAAAAGTTTGCTCACAAAACTACAATCACGCATGCGCGGTGAGACCGCGCGTTGACAACTGACAGTTGACCCAAGATGGCCGACCATTCACTATCCTTACGTACCGGTTTTATACAAGTTGATTGTTGTATACAATTTAAACGCACGGATCCGCTTCTATTTATATTATTTTGTTGACAAACTCGTCTAGATTGATTGACTAGACTTCACTCAAAATTCAAACTAGACGATAACTTGTTTCTACTATCCTGTTAGTAAATTGATCTCAAATACATTTTTAAACAGGTACTCAAAATAAATCATTGTTGAATAATTTTAATCTAATTTTGATTTTTTTTTATTTCATATTGCGACCTGCTTTCTTTTGATTATATGTTTAATATTTGTATGCTGGAAACAGCTGAATATTCGAATCATTGATTTATTTCTAGCAATATTGTAAGAAATAAACGTTTTATTATTCGATTCCATTCACGGGACCCGGACTTTTGAGAGGCGTACAAAGGGCCGGAGCCAACTGCGCAGAGGTTTTAGAGCACTTTAATCTAAGTGAAATGGGACACAAACCGGCGACTATCCCTGTATGCACTATGAAAATACACCTAAGGACAGTCCTCGTTAGTGTAGGACTATTGCGGATAATAGAAACAAGGGGAATCCATAACCTTTATGACGGTATAAGGTATGAGGACTGGTTTGATGGGAACTATGGAAGGACTATGACATCTGCCAAAACAATGTAATTTTACGACTAAAACTACCCCGTTTCTTCTTTCGATACGCGCTGAGGCTGTGGTACATATTTTTTTATATGAAATATTGGAAAACGGGCCTGCGGATTACCTGATGGTAAGCTATCGGCGCCGCCCATGGGCACCTGCGATACCATAGAATTTAGGTATGAATGTGTTGCCGGCCTTCTCCGAAACCCTGATCTGGGGGGATGGGAAAGAAATAAGTATTGTGCCTTTGGTAACGTCACTTAAGGGGCGAAATATATCGTTGTTTTTTATGCAATAGGTCGGCAAACGAGCATCCGGAATCCCTGCTGGTAAGCAATTAGCGCCGCCCATGGAAACCCGCAACGGAGGAGTTACGAGTGCGTTGCCGACCGTTAAGGGATTTGGAGATTTAAGGATTGGGGAGAGATTCGGGGAGGGGAAGGATCGGGCCTCCGGTAACCTCACTTACACGGCGAAACACAACGCTGTGGTTGTTTCACGCCGGTTTTCTGTGAGGCCGTCTCTCTCTCTCCTAGTATCTCTAGTCTGGGCAACTCATTCGTCCCGTCCTCTTCTATCTACATTGCGCTTGCCGTGCAACCCTGGCCTAAAACGCTGATTTGAGAAACAAACAAACTTAAACTTAATTTCCTATTTATATACTACTTATTAACACGAAGTAGGATTTAAGGTAAATAAATTGTGAATTCATATATTGTTTTGTTTTTTTCAAAACAGTCATATTACTAGGAATTATTGTTTGTTGATTAACCATTTATGCATTGAAACATGTGTTTCCTTTATTATTAGGTATACAAGTTATAATATCATGGTTTTGCTTGCGTCTTTTTTTCTTTACTTAACTTACGATATGTTTTTTGAGGATAGGTTTAAGGGCCTTCGACTGCACGGTTGGTGCGGTGGCTGGGTAACTGGCTGCCGTGCATCGTGGCGCGGGTTCGATCCCCGCACGGAACAACACTTTGTGTGATCCACAAATTCGGTTGTGTTGTTTCGGGTCTGGGTGTCTTGTGTATGTAAAATTGTATGTTTGTAAACGCACCCACGACACAGGAGAAAATCCTAGTGTAGGGCATAAAAAAATAAAAATAAAATTACATTGTTATGGCATCTGAAACAGAGAGAATGATTTTGTTGGGCAATCCGACTAACCATCGGCGCCACCCAGTAGCCGGGCTGGTTGGTGTGAAATTGGCGACCGAAGCCTCCTCTGGAGTAAATCGACAGGCCCCAACAGGAGGAAATGCTACTGTCGGTCCCACAGAGTCCGGGAATGTAAGGACTTCTTTGCGAACTCATCGCCGGATCGGCGCTTGGAACGTCCGTGGTCTTCTTGGGGCGGGTAAACTGTCCATCGTGGAAAGGGAAATGGAAGCTCATAACATCTCCATACTGGGACTCAGCGAGACGCACATGCGCGGTAATGGCCACTTCACCACTGCGGTGGGGAACACCATGTGCTTCTCGGGGTGTGAAGATTCAAGCACGAACGGAGTCGGAATTATATTGCCGCCGCATTTGAACAAGTACGTCCTCGGCTATAACCCAGTGTCCGATAGAATACTCACTATGAAGCTGAACACCAAGCCGTGTGTACTGAATATAGTACAAGTATATGCGCCAACGGCACAGGCGCAGGAACAGGTGATTGAGGACTTTTACGGGAAATTAGAGGAAACGCTTGATTCGATACCAGGTCGGGAAACAAAAATAATCCTGGGTGACTGGAACGCCAAGGTCGGTAGTACACTAACTGATGACCACATCAGAGGAACAGTTGGTAAATATGGACTGGGCATCAGGAATGAGCGGGGTGAAAAACTGATCGAGTTCTGCATAGACAGAAATCTCAGCATTATGAACACGTTCTTCCAACATCATCCGAGACGGTTGTACACGTGGAAGTCTCCAGGCGACAGACACAGAAATCAAATTGATTACATTATCTTGGATACCCGCTGGAGATCTTCTGTCACCAACGTTAAGACCCTTCCTGGTGCGGAATGCGGTTCCGACCACAACCTGCTCATAGCCAACTTCTCGCTGCGGTTAAGGGCGCCTAGACGTCAGCCACCAAAACCCAAAAGCTTGGACCCCTCCGAGCAACCAGCCTTCCGGGAAACAGTAGAGGCACATTTAAGAGACTCCCCAGTGCAACCTAACGCTAACGCTGATACTCTGTGGAAAGATCTGAAAGATCACATTAATGCGGCACTGGACGAAGTCACGAAAAAGAAAAAGCCAGAGCGGAAGAAAAAGTGCTGGATTTCTGACTACTCATGGGAACTTATCCAACACAGAAAGGACTTAAAAGCTAGAGGACTGCAGGATGGCGCAACGGCAGAACTCTCCAAATTAAACAGAGCAATCCAGGCAAGTTGTCGCCGCGACAAAAACAACTTCATTGAAAGTATTTGCAGCGATATTGAAAGTCATTCTAACAAGTTGCAAACTGCAGACCTTTTCAAGAAAGTCAGAGTTCTTTCCAGGCAGTTCAAGGCTAAATCATGGGTAATAGAAGATTCGGACGGCACTGTTTTACACGAACTCGACCGTATTGCTGAGAGATGGCGCGCATACTGTGAGCAGTTGTACGCGGATTCCCACGTTGCGCCAAATGCAAAAACGGAATGGAAAGATCTAGAGCTGGAACCCATGATTTTGCCCTCTGAGGTAGCCACTGCATTAAGGTCTTTGAAAAGGAAGAAGGCCCCAGGAAGCGACCAAATCACGGCAGAGGTGCTTGGTGCTTTGGGAGATTTGGGTGTTAAGACACTTCATAACATCTGTGCACATATCTGGCAGCACGGTGATTGGCCGCCGGATTGGTCTGAATCCGTCATTTTACCACTGCATAAGAAGGGATCGACTAAAGACTGTGGCAATTACCGTACTTTGTCCCTTGTAGCGGCACTATCACGTCGCTACATTACTTAGATACGACAGAGATAAGACATACATGTTAATTGTTGCACGTTTGTTAGGATAGCTAAATCTGAAAATCTCACGCATCTTCTTAGTATATAAGCACCAGCAATTAAAGTAATAAACAGACCTTAACCATCTACAGTCTCATTATTTACCTTGCCACGAAGTCTGGCAATTTGGTGACCCGACGAAGAACAATCAACATGACTCATTCACCCTGCAAATCAAGCAGCAGCCAACAAGAAGCCTTGGAGATCAGCCGGAACCGCCATTTTATCCCGTATTCCGGAATTTTGGAGGGACCAACCCAGATTATGGTTTAAGCAACTAGAAGCCATAGTAGCACCACAGAAGCAAGGAGACGATTACAAGTACTATACGGTCATTGCAAAACTGCCAAAAGAAGAAATAATACAGGTTAGTGACCTCATTACTTGCCCACCGCCAATAGAAAAGTACAAGGCTATCAAAGAACGCCTAATCAGTTGCTATGAGGAATCAGACCAACGTCAGCTCCAAAAATTATTGTCTGAAATGGATATCAGCGACGAAACCATCAAACTTCTATGGTTGAGGCTTCTGCCACCATCAGTGACTTCGGTTCTAGCAGTCACAGAAGACATAGATGTGAACAAGATGAGCCAGATCGCGGACAAGATATTAATAAATTCAACACGTACAGAGGTGTCAGCTGTAAACGGAAACAAATCTGGCGACGATACAATGTCATGCATACTAGCACAGTTAGCAGAAATGCAATTGGAACTAAATGCAATTCAGCAAGGTCAAAAAAACTATCGACGCAGCACTCAAAGTTATTCCAATCGTCGGCATTTCCTACCACAGTCGAGTTCAAGAGAAAGAAGGCACTTTTGTTTTTACCATGGAAGATTTAAAAAATATGCACAAAAGTGTGTTCAACCTTGTGATTGGAAACAGGATCTCAACTCAAGGAAACAGGGAAACTAATTGAAGCACGGACAACGGCGGAACTCTGTGCTATTCACCCGTCCAACCGCCTCACTATTACCGACCGAAAAAGTGGTATGAGATTTTTGATTGACACGGGAGCAAATATTTCAGTTATTAGCAAGCCACAGAGACATTCACTAATACAAGATGAACAATGTATACTTTATGCCGCCAATGGTACAAAAATTAAGACATATGGTGAAAAAACACTCTCTTTAAACTTCGGGCTACGAAGAAACTTTGTATGGAACTTTGTCATCGCCGATGTAACACAACCGATTATTGGAGCAGATTTTTTAGAGCATTATAAGCTATTAGTCGATATAGCTGGTCGAAAACTCATAGATAGGGTAACTGAGCTGACAACGCCCGCAACCCTGATCAAATCGACGCAGCAAACAATCCGCACTATTAACATTGAGACGAATCCACGCATTAC